CTCAGAGGTCTTTGGGCTTTCATTTAATTAAATTATCCCATAATGAAAACTCCCATAATGAGATTAATTTTAATTATTTATCAGCTGTGGATTTGAGGCACCGACCACATTAAATATAGATGACGGGGCTAAACTTATTTTTTTCAATTCATCACCTTTTCCTTTTGTTGAAGGTGCAATTTATTAAGTGCTGCCTGCAGTCAGTTTGACAGGCCTGAAGGGTCAGAGGGCAGTCATATTGTTTCTCTACAATAAACCTCAAATAATATTGTGAAGGGAGATGCAATTACAAGGATGCTACTTGTACTGTGGTACTATGGTATTTGATTAGAGTACTACTACGCACCAGTACAATGTTTCAATTATACCCTGTAATATATATTGAATTTAGCAATGTTACTCTGCAATGAACGTATAATTGTAATCGCAATTGCATGACTATAATTAAACTCTTTCAAGTATGGGAAAAAGATCAAAACATACAATTACACATATCTACTTAACTGCAAAAACTTTAATATATGCAATTAAGATAATATTTAATTATCAGACAGAGCAGTTACTACTAGCATCAATAACATTATTTACGGACATATACACATACGCATTTTACCCCTGATTTCCACGTTCTCTGGTTGATTTCTGAGCTCCAGCAGCCACGCTCAATGTTTGTTTTTATGTTCCATATCATTTTCAAGGTTTTGTTTTTAACAAGAATAGTTCAATTTGATTTGACTGGCCCCAGTGTTCTGTATACGTACCTGTCTTCTTCAGTTGTTTGAATGAACCGAGTAAACCCACATCCTTTGAGTTACACTCGTTCTCCCCCAGCTTGTTTCATCCACTTTTGAGGACTTTTCTTATTTCAAAATACTTAATTGGTCCTTGGTAAGTTTTAAATTGTTGTCAGTAATTGTGTGCTAATTGTCAGAGTGCTTCCATTGGGAGGGTGTGCTGATTCCCCTTGTGACAGCGCATTAGAGCGGCTTGGTGCCTGGCCAACAGAATAAAGAGTGATTTTGGACTGTCACACTGTGAGACTGTAATGAGCTGGCACAGAAGAAGTTCCCGGACAGTGGAGGTACTAATGAATTTAAGTACTGTCACATAATACTTTGTTGTCCTGTGTCTTTTATTTTTATTTTTTATTTTTCCAAAGTTTAAAATGGCCGCACACTCTGGTGCTGGATGTAGGGAGAAGGGCCCAGGCTGAGAATGTCATTGTGCCCATGAAGCAACTGCATTTTTTTCAGGCCTTCGTCAATAGTCAATGAATAATTCAGAAAGAGTCTGTCGCTGCTTTGTGGCAGGGTTTCAGCGAGCTTGTAATTTTGCAAATAGCATAGTCATCATGTAATAGACTGAAGTGTATAAGCCGAAGTGAATAATAGTACGTCAAAGTCTGGATGATGACTTTATGCTGAGTGGAGTGAATGCAAAAGATCTGATACTTTTTTATCATGAATCTGGTCAATGCTGTGCATTTTTCCAGTTTAACTTAGATTTGTACTATACCATCAGCTTTTCCAGGGACTACAGGTGGAAATTGGCAGTAAAACTAAATTGAACCGGTAAGGTAACTCTTATCACTTACGGGTATTTCAATACAAGTGCCAAAGTTCAGTTTTATAGGACATGTGCACGTGAAATCAGTTTGTTCCAATTTTAAGGAGTGCTATTCACTTTTGCACAAACTGATAGTGCCAAAAATGTATATTGCAATATCTATTTTGATAGGTTGCAATTATCAAGACCTGAATTAAAATCAACAGGCTGAAGAAGAGTCTCACTCACTTTCAATCAGGTTTTTTTGTTTTGATTTGTTGTTGTTTTATTGTTTGTTTTTTTACAGAAATCAACATTCATCAATTTGTGAGAAGGGGCCACCCCCTTCTTTTATCCCAGATCACCCAGCCTGAAAAACTCATTGACAAATATTTATCAGTGAAATTAAGGAAAAAGTATTTGGAGTACATAATAATAATGATTAAAATAAGCACTGCTGAACCAGAGGTTACCTGTAAACTGCTTTATGCATCGTGATACATGGTGGTGCCCTTCACGATAGCCAGTAACTGTCAATCCAAAGTCTGTTATTTTCCCCTTTACGTAATGGGCCCCTAATTGCCTTGACCAGTCCTACCTGTTCTGCGTCCAAATGAGACATTAGGTTTCTATAGCAACTGCAGCTTTTCTCAGCCTGTAAAATAATCCTGCCTGAGAGTTTAGTGTTTTTCTGACCGAGTGTGGATCTATTCATGAATCATTTTAATTTGTTCTAACAGTCATAACAGAATTAACAGCATGAGCCTATGTCATCTGAAAGTCAAAAGCACAGTTGTTGAAATCCCCCTTAGAAAAGCAATACATGAAGCAGAAACAACACTGTATTTCTAAACTTCAACTTATCTCAATATGTCACCGGGACAGTCTCGTCTGCGTCGGTCGGTGAAGCTTTTTGAGTCACAAAGATGAAAAACCCCCTTTCCCCTGTCAAAAAGCGGATCTTTGTTTTAAAATGTAATGTTTATTTTGCACTGAGCTGTGTCACTGGGACAAGCGGGACGTGCCTTGAGGTTTCTTGTGCATTTCCAGTGCGGGCCTGCCTCTCTGCTGGTGGAAGATGAATCACGCGGAGTCTGTGAGAGTTCACCGTGTCTCCGCTCTTTGGACTTGTCTCGGTCTAAACGGGGACAAGAGGATCGTCCTCATTAATGCGATAATTTATCAAAGTATCAAAGTAGTCAGCTGCAGAGTTCACGAGATGGGCCCGGAGGCATTTGGCAGCAGCAGCACCGACTCCGATTTCAAACTCTAGTCACTAACCTTTGTGCCGCTCCAGCGCACAACATTATCACTCCATCAACTACACTTAATTACTTACTTAGTTTTTAGCATCTCTACAGGTCTTCAATTGAGTTCATATCAATATTTTATTTTCTAGTCATTATTGGTGGACCGATTTTACATCAAATTACAAAAGGAAATACACTACAGTACTCTGCAACAATGTAAACAGTAAATGCTTTGATCAAGTAATACATTTTGTCTGAGTTAAAACAGGACTGGACAAGAAATAATGTCAAATTTCTAGTGAGTTATGCTGTTTTCTAAGGTTTTTTTCTTTAAAACTGAACTTTGCTTTTCTCATTGGAAATCTACTTGTTGTAAATTGCTTAAGATAAAGACAATGTTTACGTCAAAGTCACATTTATTTTGCAGTGTAGTGTTGCAAATATCTTTTATTTGGCTATAATGTATGCAGTCAAATTGATGTAAAAAAAGTGTAATGCCATACCGTGGAATATTCCTGCTGTATTTGAAATACAAGCAGAGCATTTTTGAAGGTCATAATCATTTCACTAAAACATTGTTCATATTTTTTTTTACAGTTTACCCTAGATTTGAAAATGGGTATGTTTTATGTTAGTTCCTGGTCAGACATGGGCTGCAGGTATGACATACTCTACGTAGTTAGAGCTATATACTGTAGTTACCATGAGCAGTGTTTTAATATGATTCTTGTGAGATAATAATAATTAACTTTTATATTAAATGAGATATTTCAATGGAGAACTGTTTTGCTTGTGCGTATAATGTCTTTGAATTTGAAAGAAACCTTCTTGTATTCTTTTTTTTACATTTTTGTTTTTACTTTATCACAAACTGAAACTTTACTGGTGTTTACTGGGTTCTCTCGCACAAAAGTATCCCCTCTGGAAAATGTAAACTTGCACACACACTTTAGGCAAAGAATATACTTATTTTGAAATTTGCCTATTTCCTAACCACTTTCAAACACAAATCCTCTGAGACAAATCCTGACTGTCTCACTGAACGTTTAGTACAATTGTGTGTTCAAAGTACTTAAAGTAAAAATAGTGACTAGACTTCCCTTCCTGTTGCTGGCCTATTGATTGTGTGGGTTGTCTCCTCTCTCCAGATGAAATGCTGTGATGCGTCCCAGAGTCATCACAAGGTTTTCCAGCTTTAGTAGTTCTTGACAGAAGTTTCCAAATGAGTAATCTGCAATATTCATCAATCATTTGTATTTCGGAAAAGCTTAAACTTTTCAATCAGAGTGTTTAAATTGTAAAGTGTGTGCATAATTCCCTTAACACCAAAAAGGACTATTGTAACAACAAACTGGCGATAGCTGCTGATAGCTGTGATAAATGGCTCAGCATGGAAAGCGCAGCAGGTTCCCGTCTGTTCCATAAAGTGGGGACATTTGGTGCCTTCTTCATTTTCAGTGCACACATAGATAAGACCAGCTGTTATCCCTGTCCAGGAATTATAAACCATTGAAAACTAGTGTCCAATGACAGTGTGAATCCTATTAAAATCCCAAATGTTCTGAGAGTTCTTGGAAGTTTTAACTATTTGCACTATGTCAAGTTAAGCTGAACTAAATGCTATTATTGTCTAGTGTTGCCACGATACTAAAATATGAACTATTTGAATACTAGTAAAGACTTTGTATACTTTACTCGCTATACTTTTATAATAATATAGACATTTTTGGCTTGTCTCATTGGCAAAATTGAGTATAATGAATGTGATTCAAGTAGTTGCTGTCTTATATTTTGTCAGTTTTGCAATGTAAGCTCTATAATAAAGACACAATAATAATGTTTACACTGCTCTAATACATGAGGTATTTGAAAATGTTTTTATTGGATGTTTATTCCATTTGCACAGTTAGAAGAATTCTGACTGATCAGGTATGCTATTTGATAATTTTTTCCTCCTGTTGAATCATAATTGTGCTATTGTCATCTATTCCTCAGCACATTTCACTCCGTACCTTGGACAGTGACTGGCTCCAACTCGAGCGGAGCATATCCAGTGAGTGAGACAAACCACTGGCGCACACAGCAGTCTTTTTGTAACTGTATTTAGCTGCTGCGTAGAATGGCACTGGCCCAATCTAAGTGGCTTTCATCTCGCCAATTCAAGCAGACGTTTGACCCCAGACATTTGCCTAATGTGTTTTTGTTATGTGGACTTCTGGCTTCACAAATGTCACAGAGGCCGGGGCTGGCGGGGGGCTGGTGGGGGGTGTGGGAGGGGCGCTGAGTGACTGTGGGGGCTGTACAGGAACACGGGGTCAGAGCCTCAGGGGGTGACTCTTGAGAAGGATTGGAGACTGCTGTTGTGGTTTGAGTTTTCCTCTGTATGTATGTAGGGGAGTGCAAACAATCACATTTGAATTATGAATTAAATAGTTTGGAATTCATAAATTCCCATTGATATGCACGTGTCATTAGTAAGAAAACAATTGGAATGCACAGTTGTGATAAATTTTTATCATGGGGGGAAAAAAAAGTTGGAACTTAACTTTTCTTACACCAACACTGAACACTCCCCACTCCTCTACTTATATGGACTCCTTGGTTATTTATGTTTATATTGTTTTTTTTTCTATTCTTTATATGTTTTTACAAAATCTATTCAATACTTTAGACTTTAGCATTCCTCCATCCGACAGTTACAGACCACAGCCACAGCTCCATTGGGGTCTTCTCATCGCAATCTAGGTTAGCAATCCATCTCAGTCCCATAACAGGTAAAAAAAGATAAAATGGCTGCTGTATTAGAACGTTTGCATTCTCGATTGTGGTTGATCTACACCTGAAGTCAAATCGATTGCTTTGTTACAGTCACCAATGAGTGGCATTGAGGGGCTAAAGAGGAGTTAATTTTGACTTACTCATGTCCTTGTGGTTTACTGTGATTGGTTTAAATAGTCTGCACAGTTAAATGCGGTTGTAGAACAATTATTTTGTCATACCATATTTTTATTTAAAACGATCATAAATTGAGATTAGTCCATAGGGGTGGAAACAAATCAAGGTTAATTTTATCCCAGATCGCCCAGCCCTACCCTTTGTACTTGCCCTACCCTTTATACTGTCTTTCTACTATACAGATATCTTTCTCAACTATTTATGTTTTATAATTAATTTTGTAAATGAGAGTTTTGCTTATTGCTGCCCACATACAGAAAAGCGCATTAGATTAATACTTTTTGGTCAGTCCATTTCAAGTTTGATGGCATTGTGTCCACTGTGATCCTTAGCAGGGCATCGGGCAGCATCTATACGCCCCTCTCCCCTCTGTGACCCGGACCCTCAGCCCGGGCAGCTGTGTGCAGGACTGGGAGTGCCACATAGTCCGAGGGAGACCAGGCCCTGACAGTTGGAGCCACACTGACAAATGCTGCCATTAGAGAGGTGCTGAAAATTTATTACCTAACATATTGGTATTTTAGGGCACAGCTGATTTTGATTTAGTGGCAATGCGGTGCTTTCAATCAGGAAAACCACTTTCGGCTCCAAAAATGACTTTCACTGCCTCGGCGGTGAGTGTCGCCGTTATCTGTGCATCTTGGGTAGTCACTGCAAATCAGCTTCATGTGTAGTTTCCAACATAGACTCAAGGGTTGTATGACTTCACAGGAAAGAGGTACCACAGCTTAGGTCATACTATTTTGAAAAATTGTATGTCTGAAAGTGATCTGTGACTGAATGTCGTATTTTCTAAGATTGACGAACCGTTCTGTGATCCATATTCGTTGTTGTTGTACTTCTTTAGCGTATGTGTATCTGCATCCAGGCCGCAGTGACAACCGAAGCCATAGAGATGTCTCATTCAGAGTAATAGGTCTCTAAAGTGTGCTTGTTTAGATTTTCTTAGCTCGCTAGAGAGCTGTAAAGTGTCTGTAGATTTTCGTGGTCCTTGTAAGCCTTCTCCAGGTGCGCAGTGGCTTGTAAAATACAACATGACTTTCATTATTCAAGTGGAAACCGTTCTGTAGAATATTATTGGTGGTTTGAGGAGTTGTGATGGAAACTCGTAGGTTTCCATCACACATAGGAAGAAAGAGAACGCTCTCTTATCTCAAAGTATGCATCGCTGCTAACGTTGGTGAAAAAAATTGCTCAGCTTTCAGCCTAAAAACACGCAGGGCTCTTTTTTACACTTCACACAGTAAATTCAATTAATACAATGAAGGCGGCAGATTTGTTCACAAAATTTTACAAGACTCTTTCTGTTAGGGTCAAACAAAATGTAACGGATCAGGGCACAATTGTTTGGTGGTTTCACATCGCCGAAAATAAAACCTCTTTCTTTGCCACTGAGTTTAATTTAATTGGTTCGTTTCAGACTGTGTGTTTATGCACCCTAATAATACAAGTTTGTGATACTAATGAATACAGTATTTGCTTCATTAATGATGAAAAAACTAGTGGTGTAGCGTTGTGGTGTACTAAAAAAAAAGATTCTTGGATATAGATAATAAAGGAATAAACGTTGGATTTGACTTAAATAACTATCTTCAATAAATGAATTATAAATGCATCAATAGTGTTGAAAGTTCCCTGAATCTAGATATGTTTCGTATTGGAAGACTCTGAGAAATAGCCGGTGGTAGGAGTTTAGTGTACATTTCCTACAGTACAACGAATGGCTAATAAATTGAATCTTGAAATAATTTCTTTGCTATTGTGCAAGGATAATTCTGTGTATCTCTTTGGGGTATGTCCTATATTTACAAGTATCTGTTCCTCTGTGAGGGAAGCCAACCTGATGTTTGTTTATAAAGAATTCTGGCTTCACTTGCAACTTTCATTCACCACTTTAAAGCACTCGACTTGCTACTAATTTACCATGAGGGAGTTGAAAATTACCTGTCTGCTGCGCTGAAAGCTTTCTTGTGGTACAGTACTTGTCATCATCAAAGATTCGCTTTAGTGTAAATGATAGATTGAAGATGGATACGTTAATGTTATATAATATAGAAGTACAGGCTGCATGCGGAAAGACGGGGAACATGATTTTATATCTCGAAGGCATGTGATTGGAGACTAGTGCTATTTTTGTAGCAATTAAAAAATAAGCGTAAGGTCACTAGAAATGAATGCATGTTAAAATGTTCCTTTTATTTTAAGTTTATTTAAAAGGGACAGAACAAAGAATGTGGCTACTTTTGAAGTAACTGATTTGAAGGACTGCTTTGTGATTTTACTTGTTGTCTTTTATGTATTTATTAAAATGATAAAAAGGACTAAAGGGTCTTCTAGTTGTTTGTAGCAGTGACTTTGATGAAAATACAAAACTATTATTCAATCTTTTAACAGATAATACTTTCATATGAATTTTCTTTTTTTGTTTCTCGTTTTGCAGTGGTGTCTTTGTTTTTCTTGGGGCATTTTTCAGTATTTTATTCTTAAGTCGCTGGGTGACCACTTCACCTGGTAATGCCTAAGTAAATATATAAAAGCTGTTGTTTTTACCCAAAGTTATCCCAAGTTCAGATTTCCTTTCTTGGGGGAACGTTTGGAGAGTAACGCTCTGTTGAGACGTGTCAAAAAGGGAACTTGATCTCCTCCAATGTGTGGTGCTCTATAAACATTGTATTACTCCTTGCTCAACAATTTGCAGTGTATGCATAAGAAAATAGTGCAACTGTGTCACTGGAGTGTTGGCGATCGCTTGACCATTCACTAGACACCGTTTATGAATTCTTTATCGAGATAAACTTGACCAAGATCTTCCAATTAGAGCAGCTGAAGTTTCATGTGGCTTGCCCAGATAAAAGTACAGTAAGGTTACTTTCTTATCTCCCAGACAAAATGAGCCAATTCTATTTCCATGTATGTGGGCACGTGGATGGCCGCTGGAGGACAGTGCGGATCTCTCCTCACTCTAAATTGCAGCCATCTCCACAGCTCCACATGAAGACCACTGAGTCCCATCAAGATAATCCTTAATAAAGAACGGCTTCGCATTCAATCTGAGTTTGCGGCTCAAATTTCCGACTTGATATAGATTTGGCGAGTGCCGTTTTAGTGCTGATGTCTGCCGGACAGTATCAGGGCATCTTTTGTTAAGCTATTTGGCACATTTTAAGTTTTCTATTAAGTTGTGATTGATGCTGTAAAGAATGTAATCAAACTGGTCTTTTTAATTAACAATAACATTGCCGTGCTTTATAGTGATACAAACGGCTTGGTTTGATTATGGACATGCTAAATTAACCACATCTTTACATGATTCTTAAAAATCATGCCCCCAGTCACAGGACTGAAGAGTAGAACTTGTTTTGTGCATTTTTTCTTAAGGTTAAACTTAAATGGGCTCAATCAATATTAGGAAAACCTTTTGTTTTTTTTTTTCACATCACCTACCCCTAATTACAAGCGGCCCCTTGTAATTAGCAATAAGCAAAATCCACAAAGTAGCAGCTATGTTTTAAGGCTGTAAAACCCCTCACCACACACTTCATACACTTTTCTAACCACCTTGAAGTCACGACTGCTGAAGTGCGATGCACACAAGCCACAAACGTTTTCTAAATTTTTAAAAAGGTAACTGTCATGTTGTACTAACAGAAATATGATGTTGTTGGAGTATACATGTGACGTATTAGAAGCATGCTGTAAAAAAGGAGCCAAAATTGCACACTCAAAAAAATCTGCATAACAGTGAGGCTGTGAAACTGTGTCATAGCAAGGGACCACTGTATACGTTTCACTACACCATCGCTCTCTGCGTTTGCCACTTTTGCCAATGCCACTTGGGACCAGTGGGTACTTTTTTCCACATTTTCAAGTTGGTCGGACCTTGAACAGGAAGGGAGGACCTTTCTTGTATCAATCTTAAAATCATTATGTTAAATAAGTGCACTTAAGCTGTGCTCGTCCTCCATTTTAGACATAGGAGTAAGATTCGGGCTGGAGTGACACATATTTTAGTATTGCATTTGAATTGAAGTAGTTGCTGTGGCCTTTAAAAAATGGCCCACTCAAATCAAAGTTTATTTTGATTCAAAACATGTTTATTTAACCCTACTCTATACAACAGTACGTTTATCATATTTCTGAGACTTTAATATGTGAAAATGAAACACATCTTAAACTCCTTATTGTCCTCAAAGGAGCAGTTTTACATATGGGCTGGACTGAAGCACCAGTTGGAGCTCATCAATAGCAGTGCGGCCTTGTCTGGTAGTAGAGAAAATAAGCTGAAGCAGACAGAAGGCAGTGGTTCCCCGCACACAGCCCCTGATCAAAGTGTTGATGGAGCACTTCCACAAGACGGACAGCAGGCTCCAAAGCACTTTGTCCAACAGAAATCTACTACTAATACTACCACACTCTTAGTACATTTCTGCTACTACTACTAGGATTCTACTGCTATTTTAAGTTTCCTGTCTAATACAACTGTTTTTACAGTCACTACTGTTACTGTTTGGTTTAATAGTCACTGCTAAAATACCCATTTACTAATATGGTACTGCATAGGTTTTATTGGACAGCATGTTAAATGTAAGTCCAAGCAACATGATCTCCGCTGCCTCCACATAATCTCTGCAAACTCAACATTCCTGACAAAATACTACAGTTTTAGTTTATATCACTGGTTCAATTGCTATGATTGCAGCATGTTGCCACCTACCAACCCAAAGTTTTTTTTAAAAAACCTACGTGTACTATTTTAAATAAGTCATCTTTATTTAGAGTATTTCAAAGACCAGGGTCACACACATCGCTGTACAATATCATGTCTTTTTAAGTCATTCTGCACAGAGTGATTATAAAAATTATAAGATAAGATAAGGAACTTTATCGATCTCACGATGGAGACATTTACAATGGTACACAACACCATCCATTCAGTCACTCATTTTTCATACAGCTCTAACTGCTGTGCCACTGCTGACTCCACAGCAACAATTGTATCTATACTTCTATACTGAACTCAAACTATTTGCCAGTAAGATGGACACAAGTTTACCAGCTTGGAAGTACATCCAATTATAAGTTATTGTGTTTATTAATTAGAATGAAAAAATTGACAATGTAATAAAAATCCATGTTTCTAGTTAATTTCCTTGCTTTATTTAGCGCTCAATACAGTTTGATTTTATCACTAGTTTTCATGTACATGCTTTTTGGGCCTCTGTCACATGTTTTGATCAGCTTTTCAATCAGCTCTCAGTATGTATAAGACTGCATGTTGTGGTCTGATTTGTTCACAACATATACCACATTATGTAGGCCTTACTTCCCACCTCTGTTGATCAGCCGTAGGCCCCGGGGCTTTTCTCGTGGCCCCTCAGCCCAGTGCCCCCATTGTCCGAGGCTTCGCTGATACTATCTGTGGAGCTGTGAGTGAGCGGCATATGTGAGGCTGCTGTCATTCCCCCAAACTTCTCCTTCTGCTGCTTTTCCTTTTTCCGGCAGCCTCCAGTCCAGCCTCCGTCTCTCCTCCCTCCCACCCTCTCTCTCACTCCCTCTCTTTTTTTTTCCCTTCCGTCCGCAGACACTCAGCGACTCACTGCCCCGGAGCAGTAATCGGACAGCTCTCCTCTCTCCTCTCCTGAGATCGTCCACCGGGCTCCATGGCTTCCCTACTCCTACAATGAAAAAGAAGAAAGTTGAAAGAAAGTTTGCTGTGGCGTAGACCAGACCTGCGGCGGAAAAGGCTGCTTGATGTGCACTGGGCTCCCAGCCTGAATGGCACATGCAAAGATTTTGTTTTAAGAGAAGAAAGCAGGGATATATACACAGATTCGGCAAGAATTGCAGTGAGTATTGGAGTGTTTTCTTGAAATTTGTTTTTATTTTATTTATTTATTTTTGTCATGAGTGTGTGTGTGTCTTTGTAGTTTTTTATTTAGTTCCTGCTACTCTATGAACTACCGTTGTTTTTGTTTTGTTTATTTTTTTATTTATTTTTTATATTGTCTCAAAGAAATGCACTATAATTTTTTCAGCTTCCTAAAATTATATTTCTCAAGAAAGAGCTTTTTACATTTTAACAAATTAGAATTAAAAACCATTTACAGTGATAATATCCTTTGCATTTTATTAGAGCGAATATACAATTTAATCAGCATAGTCTTTAGACTTTTGACTACATAAATTAGTTGTAATCTATATTTTTATATATCAATAATGCCTTTATAAATAAAATACTCAATTTACTTGTAATACAGACAATAGAAGCTATATATTTCAATTGACAAACACATTTTCCACACACTGTCCTCTGCACGGCCCACTTTGCATTTCTCTCTTGTAATCTTAAACACGGCGCTCTCAGTTGGAGCCACCTATTTCAGACGGTAGAACAAAACCGGCTGGGAGCAGATGACATGTGTACCATCTGCCGAGGCCCAGGAATGCACCAGAGCCACCGTCGGCGTCTGTCCCAGGACGGGCTCAGCTCCACAGGCCCTATCCGCGGCTCCGAGTCTCTCTCCTCTGACCCGGTGGCTGTGTTCTCCTGCTCCTTTTAATTTTAGCATGTTCAAAGTGCGATGACAAGCTAACATCACAAGACTTGATTACGTTTTAGGCCATTTCATCTACTAATTTATCCTGCTTTTGAGGATGTCATTTTGGTTATAAATGCAGGGCAGGAGATTACAGAGGAAAGTCACCATGGCTTGTCAAATATGGCTGTGTGTGTATGAGTGTATATGTGTGTGTGTGACTGTTTGTGTGGAGCCTGCTGCCTCCATTCACGCTCACAATAACTTTATTTATTCAATTAACAAATAATGAGTCGGCTGATTTAGGCTGTTTACCCTGTCTATTTACTTTACTCAGACAGGTCCCTGCGGCTGCCTGCTCGGCTTTATGCACACGGAGCAGCAGTGTGCAAAAGCAGGAGTGCCCTATGAAGCATTGTTTGTCCCAACCCTCAACCCGAGATTTAAACAGACAACATTGACAAAGCCTTAATTGACTTATTTGTGAGGAAGGCCAAGAGGAAAGACGTCACCTGGAATCTAGTGTCCCCGTGTGATTAGTCAGCACAAGTGTTTACTAAATATCGGTGTTATTTGGCTAGCAACCATCTGTTTTGGAGTGGCACAATTGGCTGAAAGAGCAGGAAATGAGCTGTAAGGATTTCTGTTGATTGCCATTACAAGTCTTCAATCACTAATACACTCTGCGTGTTTGTTTGCAAATGGGAGTTCTGTTGACACGGCGTAAGACAATGAGGAAGTCCCTGTTGAAAGTCTAAACACAAATAACGGTGGCTGCCGACGTTGCAAAAATAGACAGATTTTTAACTCTTATCATTTTCTCTTTTATCATATTTTTCATATCTGTGGGAATACACAGTGCACATCCTGTAATAATTTTCATGGATGACTCCCAGGTCCCGGAGAACAGTAGAATAACAACACGAGCATAAACCTGAGATAATGGTTGAGATTTGTCAGCGGGCCTACTTTCATCTTCATGTTGTAAAGTCTATCTCCGCTCGCTGCTCGGTCATGGCGGTGGCCCACTGTGATAAAACGTGCACCTTAAATCTTGTGCAATGGCCCCTCAAAGACGCACGACCTTCTGGAAATAATTTAGGAGGTTGAAGAGCACAGTATTTACAGATTTAATGTAGCTATTGAGGGAATTGCAGCAGCAGCGTGTCATATTGGAGCAAATGAGAGAGACAAATTGCATATCAACAAACGGCAACATCTGTTAATAATTCTGCTTTAATTATAGGCTGCTGCAACGTTGTCGATTAGGTGTGAAATGTTGTGTGGTGAATTTATTGGCTTAAGCCCACGTGTGAAAAATTATTATAGTCGTAAAATTATATTAGTATATTCAAAATACAAGATTCAAGCTGTAATCTATATTCGAACACAGCCCATCTATTGTCCCATTTGAGGAATAGTGACAATCAAAAAAAAAATTTAATTTTTTACTGACATGCTTTGCCATAGAAAATGTTTTTGCATGTGTCTTGGCAGCTGTCATTTTGCCGGACACTTCAGCGTTGCCAGTGAAGTGAAACATTTTGTAAACTGTGGCTAATTCCACTCACATCTGCGTCCAATTGTTGTGTGCATCTACATTCTTCACGAGTGGATTTATTTTTCCTAGGCCACCATGTGGACTCAGCTGAGCAGCTTAAGTCAGGATTAGCTGTTTTAAAGTTACATTTTGATTAAAGTATTGATGTGCAAAAGGTTGTAACTCACAACATATGCTTTCACGTGCAGTGTCGTGTTCACCAGGCTTTCAATCGCGAGTCAGGAGAAGACAGAAACATTCCTGTGAAATCACTGTGAAGCCATATATTTTTGGCTGTTTCAACGTTTAATTTGCTGTCCAAAAACGACAATAATGTAGGAAAGCGTTCGTGCCAGTTCGGACGTCCTGCATGCAGAGATGATGTATGCTAAAAGCTCGAGCCATAGCTGTGTTTACCTTTCCAAACGCTGGTCTTGAAGTAACTAAAGCGAGACAAAAGGGGCCAGCATCACCTCTGCAGCTCGGCGTGTTGTGGCACTTCTTCCTCCTCTCCCTCGTCTCTATTCTGCATGACACTTTTAGCGCTTCATCTAACCTGCCTTTGTTCTGCTCGCCTTCAAAGAGCAGCCGTTCAGGTTCAGCTAAGACACACATCAAAGATTACAACAGGAAAAAATAATGGGGGGAGAAGAGAAGCTTGTTTTTGCTTTGAGATGTAGGAATACTTCACCACAGACTTTCACCTGCTGATGTTTTCAACACCAGCATTATAGTTTTTTTTTTAATTATTGTTATAACTACAGGTGAAACTCCAGAATTAGAATATTGTTCAAAAGTCCATTTACTTCAGTAGTTCAACTTTAAATGTGCAAAAAATTCATGACAGACTTATTACATGCGTGTGAGATGTATCATCATTATTTGTTATAATGTTGACAATTGGCACACAGCTTGTAAAAACCAAAAATAAAACTTCTTAAAAACTGAATTTTCTGAAAATGTTGAACGTTTTCTGGAATCCATAATCATCAAAGTGTCAACAAAGGCTTCCCAAATGTCACTGTATGTAATGAGTCATTTATTAGTTTAATTACAGAAATGAAAGCAACTTAAAAATGATATTCTAATTTTGACCAGTATAAAATATATACATAAACCTTTTTATTTATATTCATATTTTGACTCAATGTATCAGCTCTTTTTATTTCCATTTATTTCACATTTGCTTTCTTTTGAGGTTTGTGTTCTTCATGGAGGTTTTCCCTGGTGTGAAGCGTAAAGCCTGTCCAAAAAAAAATCCTAAGACCAAGCGGCTCATGTTACGTGGTCTTATGTAAACAGCCAGCATTAAAAAAATGATGCCCGTATTTTTAAAAACAAGACTCTCCTGCTCTTTCTTGACCATATGGCAACTTTTGACCTGCTTTTGGACCCTGTATTCCTGCAGTGGGCTAATGTAGTGTTCTGACCAGGCGAGGGTACGGCCGTGTGCTTGATGTTTGAGGGGAGAGTGGACAGCGCTGTGTTTCTGTCAGCTAAGGAGAGTAATAGAGGCATTCGCAGCGTCATAGGAAACATATGTGGCTCCATATGTTGTGTGCACCGCGTGGAGACTTCATTGTCTGCGATGCTCCAGTGGTCGAGGGGCCTCCAAAGTGCCCTATGTGGAGGCTTGTGTGTGTTTTGCACTGGTGATTCTGGGGCCCCCTAAAGTGCTCGGTGTCGGTGCAGCCCGTGACTTATGCGTTTTGGAGAAAATAGTCTTTATATGTTTTTATGTTGCCTCTTCTGTTATGGATACATATTTATTTCATTAAATGTAAATTAAACTTATTTTTAATTGAAATCCTTGTGGCAAAGTACTATGCAGATGCAAATCACTGTGTATTTATACAGTGTAAGATTGAAAAGCTTTAAGAGTGTGCTTTTTAACAATATAAGTTACATTCTTATTGCATTTGAACTTTTTTACATCAGTGTCCTATATTGTGTTCTTTGTTGTGTCTCTTTCTGTATGTTTCTCTTGAGACTCCTGAAAGAAGCCTCAAACTGCTATTAGTTCTATTAGTAAGGAGTTACTTTATATTTGCTGTTGATTTCATTGGCTACATCACACATCAGCTGAATATGAATGTGCACTAACATTGTTTCTAAGCCCACGCCAGCGACTTTTACAGTAACGGCGTAGTATGAGCATTGTTTCCTTCTGCTTCATTGTGAAAAGTAGTGATTTCTTTTGGAAGCCGTACCATCGCCCCAGGCTGAGGCAGGCCTTGTGGTTGGAGCAGCCCTGACGATCATTAGGACCTGTCAGTATCCCGGGACGGGGGAGTGCTGATAAATTTCAGATAGTGTCAATTGGAGATGAAAGATGTGCTGGAGATGCTGGGGGTGTCACGCTTCACTTGCCATGCGCTCAACAAGTCCCATCTCTCCCTATAGGCACAGCGTCAGTAGTGGCTAAGTGAAGCGGGCTGTCTCTACCCTCCCAAAAAAAAAAAAGTGCCCACCTTCTGCCCCCCTCACACACACCCTTTTTCCTGCTTACCTTTGGGCTAAGCCGCTTTGCATGTTGATTGGGGGAGGGATAATCCAGTTTGCAGCTGTCGTAGACCAATGATGAATCACCTTTCCGTCATTTGGCCGCGCTGCTCTGGCCCGGAGAGGAGGGAGGACGCGAGGTAGTAGGAAACAGCAGTGCGGTGTGGTGTGGTGGGAGAGCATAGGGCTATAGGAAGAAGACACAATGCAAGCCTCTGTTCTCTGGTCCTATTCCGAGCCGCAACTACAATAATGTTTTCTCAGAGGGCTTTTTGTGTCATGCTGCGGAGCGGGACTAACAACGGGACATATTGTTGGAACGGTGGCAGCAGGTGGCAGCTGAGGTGAAGGCGGCAGGATCCAGGTAATAGAGCGAGATGTGGAAAAGGCATGGGGGGCAGTGCTGTGGTAGAGTGGTAGAGTAAAAACATGTCTTTTGTGCTGGACAGCTTTTAAGTGCTTACTGTCTAGCTGACTGTGTGTATTTATGGTGTGGAGTAAATGAATATACCTTTGGGAAAAAGACAATGCTGCTTCCATTATCAGTGTGAAGAAAGTGGCCTGGCCTGCTGTCGGATTTTGAACTGTGGCTTAAATGTTTTCTCGTAGTAGAAATATGCCGCTACCATGTATCAGAACAGATAATGACAACTCTCATATTTAAGTTTATTCCACAGTGCATTTGTATTTCCTAATTCAATCATTTTCTTTTCTAACCGGGTTGCATTTGTTACATCTGATAAGGGATTCGCTTTTCTCTTTGTGGCCTCGTGAAGAGTTCCAGCGTTTATTGATGTCACAGATATCCACAAGCCTCACATGTAATTGGAAATGGCAGCATAATGCACAGAGCATTTAGGGTAATTTCATTAACTTGCTATTGCCACGATAACAGTGGCAGAAACAAATGATGTTGTTGACGTGCTTTTCAAATGATGTCTTACACTCATCTACACTCGATCAGACGGCGTGAATGAGAGACAGCGTAATGTTTTCAGTGGTGTGGTCTTTTGTCTAAACACAGCAACAATTAAGAAGTGTGCCAAGGCAAACACACGCCTGGTGACCATCTGCTCCTCACTCTGATAATCAGGACTTGTGCTTTTCAACATGGAAAATATCTGAGAACAATTTTAAAGAATTACAGAACATCCATGTGTCCATATTTCTGCAATTTTAGTAACTACTACTACTGCAATTTTTAAGCAACTACTAGATTGAACTTTTTTGACCCATTTTTATGTTTTGTAGATGTTTGTGCATTGCATTACAAGTACTTTTTAATGTAAAAAAATATGCTATTCATTTTAAAATCAATTCCATTTATTTGTATATTTCCCAATACAGCAGTCGTCCAGAGGGGTATCACAGAGTTGTCTAATTGCCAACAGCAGATTAGAAAATCAACAAATGTAAAGTACAAAATTACATGTAATTGGTTCATAGGATGGCAGGTTAACAAATGTCCAAACGTTCCGGTCGAACACAAAAATGATTAGTTCAGAGTGTAATGTAACAAAAGCCACCAGGTTTGGTATTTGAGCAGTTATTTCGTACTCTATTTTTCTACAATTCTTTATAAAATGTGTGTGCTAGTTCCGGAATTATTTCCATGTTACTTTGTACCTTCCAGCTCTTGCACAGTGCACCTCTCCCTGTGCTTACAACAAGCATGTGAAACCAGAGTGTTGTAATGTGATTTCTTTAAGAGTTCATATATCCGTGTGTGTGTGTGTGCGTCCGCTCGCAGGTCTATGGAAATGCAGGATCTCGCCAGTCCTCACAGTCGAATCAGTGGAAGCAGTGAATCTCCCAACGGTCCCGGCCTCGACAACTCGCACATCTCGCACATTAACAACAATTCCATGACACCCAATGGCACTGAAGGTACAGCCCCCTCCTCAAACAGCTTTTACTCAAAATATATCACAAGTGTGTCATTTTACTTTATGAAATAATGTGTTGTTATTATCCCCTATTCACAAATACTACTAATACTACTACTCCTTAAACAATTTGGAATACTGTACGTGTAAAGGTGCATTTTATTACATTTCTGATGGGGCCTCTGCTTATCTGTAATTATTACAGCTTGTTCAACAGTATGGCTTTCAAATCAATCCTGCATTTATTTGTGGGAGAAAATAAAACTTTGTAGATCGCATAAGTCATGTAAGCTTGTATTATTTATTTGAATTGGAACAGAATAAGTTAGTTGCAGCAAACAGCTTACACTTAGATATGTTGGAATAAAATGCAGATAAAATGTATCTATTGCAAGTAAAAAAAAATAAAAATAAAAAACCTAACACCCACTTTAGATAACAAAACAGACAACCGCAACACAACAAGCACAAACAATATGACCTGTAACTTGGTCTGGAGCTTGTATCTATCAATAATAACAGTCAATATTATCGCTGTACAAGCAGAAGCCAACACACAGTGCACATTTTTAACATATAGTGTTTAATTGATTTCAAAGTTATTGTTTTTTTTTAGTCTTTAGTCCAGTCAAATTATTTTCATCTCATTCATTTTTTTGTGGAATTATTTTCCCCATTCATTTGAAGTCTGCCATTTATCTAATCAGTTTGCATCTATATTGTGAGGTTTCGGTGACTGTGCGGACTGTCATGTTTGTGTGCTTTACCACTCTTTTTCCCATAGGAGATAACATCACAATGCTTACCACTGCAGACTGGTTGTTAGGGTCTAACTCACAGTCCGCTGCAGGTTTGTTCACTTCAGAGACACAATGAAAGGACAATACTTGGTGTTCTGTTCATTTGGACCGTAGAGCTGGATTACAGGGAAAAAAAACTATAAGTGTAGTTATTTCCAAGTGTGTATTTGCGATTCCTGGACACATTTTGGCAATAGAAAAGTTATCATACTTCAACTATTGTGCCTTTCATTCAGTAAGTTAAATGTAGTTTAATTTTGCCTTCTGTGATTTGAGCATGGTTTGGTGGATTTTAGGTTTCTTCTTTTGAATGATCTCATTTTGTCCATGTTGTACCTTTAGAACAGTGGTTATGTTGGTGTGCGCTTGTTTATGCATGCACTATATTTTATCTGTGTTTCTGCATCAATCAGCAGAGACATGTATAACATGACAGCATGAGGGAATCTGCTGAGCATGACTCAGGCCCACATTCAGAAAGTCTGCGAAGCATTCACAGCCTGTGTGAAGTACAATTCCTAGATTCCTGGACTGTCAGAACTGTGAAATTGTCTTTTTAGAATTCTATGTGGCTTAAAGCTGAAGGGCCTAACTTTGAAACCACATACAAATAATGTAAAAATAGAAATCCATGTAAGCAGCTCGAGCTCTTTGCTTCTATCACTAGTTTTCATATGTATTTTTGGCCTTTGTCAAATAACATTTAGATCAGCTTTTCCAACCAGAAACAAGACTATTTATTTGGGGGAAGGGGGAAGTATTTATTAAAACAAAGTGAGAGACTTGCTGCTTTGTGGTCCTGCAAAGTTCATGGCACACAAACTGTTAGTTATGATCATGCCCTGAGATAAGAAAAGAAATGCTGATTGTTATATTTGTTCTTGGAATTAAATGCAGTATAATAATTTTTAGTGCATAGTATATGTAATAATGATATTGTTATTTAAAGGCCAATAACGTAATTTGGCAAATTGTTGTTATTGTTGCAGCATTTTTGAGATTCATCCACTTCCTTTCTTTTAGTCAGTGGCCTTTTTCCTTATTCCTGTATAAAGTATGTTATTAATGTCATTTGTTTTATTGATGTGTTTATTTTTTCTTGTGTTTCAGTTAAAAGCGAGCCAATGAGCAGCGGTGACATAATCTCCTCAGTAGCAGACACTTCTCTGGACAGCTTCTCAGGATCAGGTGAGCGGGAGCTTTGCATTGGGGGCTGTTGTTTATTATGAGCTCAGTGACTGGAGGTGTGTGTTACTGTTCCTGCTCAGACTGAGGCTGACCTGTAATGCCCTGAACCGTCTGTCCAGTGGAGTGACAGGGTGTCCCAGTGGCCCTTCCTCTCCACGGGCCGTCACCCTATCGCCCCGTCACACGCTGCATTTTCACACCCTGCTCACGGCACCTCTGCAGCTCGCACACATATTCACACCAATGCCCTGGACGCTGTTTGTACAACCACTGGACACAATCTATCAAGAAATAATATTTATGCAGTGTTTGTGCTTCTGTTCCAATCCATGTAATTAATGTAGTCAAATGTAGTCCTCATTTTCCAGTTTTCTGAGCAGTGTTAAGTAGTATGATACGTTAACACTGGAAGCACATAAATCACGGCTGTGACTTTTGTCTCCAACAATATTAATGAAATGTTGTAATTGAACACCATGTATCCTCTGAGGGGAAACCCAAAGACTCTTCAGAAGAGCAACTTTTGTCCAGTGGCAGGTGCTGCCGATGTGGGAAAAGTGTTCTGTATTAATAACGTGTGTGAGGTTCTAGCGTACAGTTACATGAAGTTAGTGCTCCCTGCAACCAAACCCCTGCCTTTACTGTCAGGTCCAATCAGCCAGACGTTTCGAAAGAGACTACTTTGACTGTTCATAGCAGAATTACTGTGATATTTTCTTAAATTGTCTACATTTGAATCATTAATCCAATTATCTCTAAAGCAGAATCAGTATCTAATGTTTTTATGAGGAAGTCAGGGACTTCATACAAGTTCCCAGCTGAGGCCCGTGCCCTTAGCCCGGCCTAATGAAGGGTTGATTATGCAGTAGCACTCATTACCTGCAATCAGTGATGTCACTTCCAATGTGGTTGTGGCTCAAACAGCCCAGGGCCACAGGCCGAGGCTGGCTGTGTTTACCAGTGTAGTCACAGCAGCAGACGGAGCAGGGAGATACTGCGGTCAGCACAAAACTTGAGTTTTACCTGATTATTTGTCTTCATTATTACTCCCCAGTTCTAAACTTGAAATAAGGTTATTGAAATAAATAGACTAATGCTGTGTATCGGTAGTTTCCTTGGAATCCCATAGTGCTGTTGGCAAAGGACACTATTTACCCTATTTCTTGATGTTTAAATATGTGCTTGCTTCTTTCTTTTTATTCTCCTCAGTTATTGGAAGCAGTGGCTTCAGCCCAAGACAAACTCACCAGTTCTCGCCGCAGATTTATCCATCCAAGTAAGACTTCTGTTATTTCTCTTTAACAAATAAGCTTCATTCGACTTCATTTGGATCTTTAATTGGATCCCTCTGCTCGTCGGTGACTCCACGAAGGAAGTTTGGACTTTCTCAAATCTGTTATAATTATTCCTAGAAAAATGTTCTTTAGCAGATTATTGTTCTTTCCAATGTGTAAACTCATGTGATGCTATATTTCCTTCTTTTTGGCACTTTGGTGTTTAAATTAGGTGGCACAATCCCATGGAATTTGTCAGCACAGTTGGGGTTTAGATTTTGGGGTAAAACATTATCTCCTGACATTTTTGTCACTTATGTCTTGTGTTTCTCTTGTTCAACAGCAGAACATATCCGCACATTCTCCCTACCCCCTCATCTCAAAACATGGCGGCGTATGGGCAGACGCAGTACACCACAGGAATGCAGCAGGCAACAGCTTATGCTAGCTATCCTCAGCCGGGACAGTACGGCATCCCAGCTTATGGTAAGACGTCCCAAAGACACATCTCAGTTAAACAAAAGCCCCGTCATCACCATCAGAACGCGGCAGTGCAGGGCGGTTAAGACTGTCAGGGCAGAGGTTACAGAACAACTGGTGTTCCCACCGCGTTCATCTGCAAAGTGCTGAGTTGTTGCTTGTTGTTTGGTGCCTGCATATTCTCCTCAGGCGCAATAAAACCAAATTTGCTTATCGAGCTGTTCGGACAGATCTGCAAGATTAATGATATAAATGGGAAAACAAAAGTTGGTTTCCTCTGGCATGGCTAGAGAAAGCAAAGATTGCGGGGCACACTGTAGGCTTTATTTGTGCAAAGTCTTTGGAGTGTTTTGACCCTAGAAGACTCCTCAATATGAGCAGGAATTTACATTGTTTATTTGAATGGAGTCTTGCATATTACTGATCTTGCAAGGAACCCGCTTTGTGACTTATTGGATTTGGTGACCATATATTTCCTACATTATGGAATGGTGGAATAAGTCCCTTAAGATCTTAGAAATTGTCCCACTAACTCTGCCATGCTCTGAGTGAGGAGGATTTAACAAATAAGAGTAGTGTGAATTCTCAGCTTTAGTTGCTCCGTAAAGGCAGATGAAAACAATATCAACTGCATGATCTCAGCTCTTTTATGCCCTGTGGATATCACTTTGACCCTTGTTGCTTTCTTTATCATATAATGTTTAGTAAATACCATTGTATAAGTAAAATAAAGCAGTTCACAACATAGTAATAACATAATTTAAGAGTCAGTAATTACAACCTATGATAATGCATGTATTGAAGAAAATTGCACTGGCCCTGTTATGTCATTAACCCAAAGATTTGCAGAAAAACGCTTAGCAATGCGGCATAATACTCCAGATAATATTTCAAAACAACGGCTGGTAGTAGAAATGATGGTGTAATCAGATAATGAGTGAGGTCCATTGCGATTAGCGTGTTCTAACAGACTGAGCCCATCTGTGTCTCTCTGCTGGGTCCAGTGTAATTTAAAGCTGACTGTTGACTGTTGTCTGTGCATCAAACCGATCTGGTGTCACTAACTGATTTAGGTCCATTGTGGGCAGGCATAAAGACCGAGGGAGGTCTGAGCCAGTCCCAATCACCAGGACAGACTGGATTCCTCAGCTACAGCTCCGGCTTCACTACGCCTCAGCCGGGGCAGGCCCCCTACAGCTACCAGATGCAGGGTGAGCACTTCCTGGTCCAAAACTGTTTATACTTTCGTACTTTGGCCTATGGACTCAGGAACGCAGCATGATGGATACACACACTGGCTATGACATTACACCACAGCAAATAATGATGACGTCCTCAAAAAATGTCAAATTGAACCAGCCCTCTGTATTTTCTGGAAAATCCCCTGTCCCTGTTTCTTGTCTCCGGCATACATTATTATAATATGTATGCTCAAGCGTAATGAGAGATTTCAAAATAAATGTAATAAGGTTGGTATTTCTCTCTCTCTCTCTTCTGCTATGCATCATCATGGCTAATACTCAAAGTTCCCTTAATTAGAAGCTGGGGTACCTTATCTTTAGACCACAGAGGTATAACTAGGTAATAAAATTAATTTGCTGCTCACTCTCAAAATGGTTTTCAAATGCATTTATTTTTCCGCCTCGTTAAAAAGAGAAGACAACCCACACTCAGCCAATCAGCTCCTAGCCCAAAGAGTCAAATAGTCACTAACAGGGAGATTGTATGCAAAAGATAACAACAATAATATTTTTCTAGAACCAGTTAATATCCATGTTGTCCAAAAAGAGATAAATGTGAGGGCTAACTCCGTGTCTACTTTCGCAAGAACCAAAAACACTTCCCAACTTGCCAACATCCCAGTCTGAAATGTAACTCTCCCTAATTGTGCAAGACTCGTCCTAGCACTCACCCTTGCAAACTGGTAGTGCCTTTTTTTCGTCCAAAAATCAACCCAGATGGAAAAATAACCCATAACACTTAAGAGGCACCCACCATGTCATTCTCCTCCCCTACAGTCTTTGTTTTCCCTCTCCCTATGATCATATTTGTATTTGTTTTAAGAGCTGCGACTGCTTCACATTTATGGCCTTGGAACCAATAAAGATGAGTTGTTGCCGCCTTTCTTTTTACCCTGGCGGTGCAGTTATAGTCGCAATAAATGTGGATCAGACCTGCTGCAGCCTTGTGTCTCTATTACGGCAACGCTTTGTAGTGGTCACTGGACGGGATCTGCCTTGCGTTTCAGCACCTGCGTCGTACAAGGGCGTTTTGCTGTGGAACTACTAGAATCGCCGCCTCTGTTTTGAAATATGTGTGACAGTAGAAGCGTCTCCACATGTTGAGAGACAGTAAATAATGCCAGCGAAGCAGCAGCAGATGTGGCGGCGAGGAAAACACTTTTTTCCCATGTTTCTTTGATATATATACAGGGAAAGTGTCGGAGCGTGCGGCAAAAATGAAGGAGAGCGAGCGGACATGTGCAAAGTGTGGTTTAACTCTTGATGACAGCGTTATGTGCCCATTCGTCTTTAAGTATTACAGTTGCTTCCCTTTGTCTGAGGCTGTCTTCCTGCTGTCTTCCTGCTATCTCAAGCTATCAGATGCCCTTCGTAGCGTTAAGTGCGTTCGTAATTGACAGGCAAGTTAGATGACAGATTGGACCACTATTTAGATTCTCCAGCCCTGGCCCTCGTCCACACCACCACCATTACTCCACCTGGCCTTATTGATCTATTCAACTCTGGCGAGCTGCCCTAAGCCTGGGTGTCCCGACTAAGGAGGACTTTTTTCACTCGATACCCCCCTCCAGCATCTTCGCCACCAGCCTGTAGCCAGCTGTCAAGACTGAGCACAATTAGATTAATGTTCTCCATTCAATTATTTTATCTGCTATGCTATGGAGCTTTGTGTAAGTGTTTATAGGCACAATAATAGGATACACGAATCCATTAGTGATTTGGTGAAGCGTGGTTATGCACCACTAAATGTGCGTATAAAGGAGGATTGAAACTTTTAAAGAAGCATTTGTGTGAACGAACAGATGCTGATTAGCTATATAATCGGATTCCTGCATTCTCCCCAAGTGTAAGAAACCCTAGCGACTGTTGCCTTTCAGAATGAGAGGGCGCCCCATCTGGACTTGATAGCTTATTCCCAAGTGGAGCATACAAACTTCTGCTACAAATATTGTGCACTGATGATAGACATAGCCCATGGCAAAGGCGACTGATCAAGCAAAGCAAATGGACTTCCAATTGTGGGGCCAGAAGGCAGGAGGGAAGGAGGGGGTGATGTCTGCTCTTGAGTGAGTGAGCTAGAGTGAGGAGAAGGGGGTGGGGTAGCCCAAACATGCCCCCCGGGGGAACCACAACCGTCCCTCTCCCCCAAACTTTAACCAGCACCACCACACGCAACAGCATGGGCCCATTCTCACCGGGCAGGGGGGGTCCGGCGGTCTTTTATGTGGCGGCGCGTTCTCCACAGAGCAACCCTCAAACTCTGACAGCGAGAGCTTTTATGACTGTTTGAACCATGCATTAGGCTAATTTGTTGTCCTTCCACTCCGTACTCCTCCTGGATAGTGACTTATTGTTCTGTCAGACTTTCACTTCACTGTGAACTTTCTTTGGGGAACGCTAAAATTCCCCCCGGCAGCCTGTGAAAAGACAAATAGAACAATAAAAGACCCTTGATGGAAGTAACCTGTTCAAGACAACATCGAAAAAACTTCCATTGAAGGGTAGATAAATATATCATTTCCCCATTAAAGTAAAAACAAAATGTTGTGAACAAATCAGACCGCATTATAACATCTTCACCTTGTTAGAAAACATGATATCTTTTATATATGTAAGAAAGAGCTTGAAAGTTGAGTTAAGATGGTATTTTCTTTTTCACTTTTCTGTTTGAAAAAGCTTAGACCAATTTAAAAATGAGGCCAAAAATACATGAATTTGAAAACTAGTGACAGATCTGTCTTAGAGCTATAAGAACAGTTTAGATGGATTTGAATACATACTGTTTTCGTAGTTTGAAAGTTAGGTACCCCAGCTTTAACCTTTGCGTTTTCTCGTCCACGTTACCCTGATCGCCCCACTGGCAGACTCCCTCCCCTCGAAAAGCTGCTTCAGGTTTGTCATGGTGAGGGGGGTGGTCTCCTGATGGGGCCAGTGACTTGAGGATGAAAGGGGCGCCCCATGTTTGTCCTGGGGAACAGAGGTGTAATCACGCCCTATTTAGGAACGGTCAATTCAACTCTGTGTGCGTTTTCACTGCGGCCAGGCAGATTGTTGTGTTGAGTCACGGTTGGCATTGTACAATGAGATGGCCTGTTGATGTGACAAATGTAGATACCTGTACATGTATGTGATCAAAGATTTGTGTTTTTGTAGACAATAAAGCATGTCCAATACACGGTGCAAAAACAGTAAATTAATGTCACAGCAATACATCAAAATTATATCCTTTTAAATCTCTTTGGTGGGAAAAATGCCAATAAAAACAACCATTTATTTTACATCACATTTTACAGTTCGGCTTATATTTACTCATTTTAGGAAATGGTAAATGAGATTTTAATGTGGCATGAAAATTGTAGTACTTAAGGGGAAAAGAAAAAACATTATATTAGACCAATCTTGCTTATCTTTGCTATCTTTGTTTTCTGAATCACTGAGTGTTAGCCTTAGGCCTGTTGCTTTCCTTCCGTAATCGTGCATATTATTAGCACTAGATGCTATCAGCTCCTCTAAATGCTTTGATTACTTGTAAGACAATGCTTTTAGCCACTGAAAAGAACACCGTACATATTTATTGTCCCTGGATGTCATTGGTACTCTCGCTCCAGTGCTTCTCATCACCCCTCCCTCCCTCTCTAAAGACACCCACACTCATTCAGGGCCTCCTCCTGCCCCACGCCCCGTGCCACCCTTGGCTAGCTCCCGCACAACAGCCTCTTGTGCGGCTCACATTGTCCAGCGCCCTTGGGTGGCTTTGGGAACACCCCCTACCCTTCCTCAGCCTTCAGCACTCGCCTCGTGTCATTCATCAGGCTTGATCCAATCACTGATAAGAAAGAAAGAGAGGAGAGATAAGGGCATTGATGGGAGAAATGTCCTCAGGCTTCCACTAAATAGTTGTTTAACAAAAGAATAACTTTTCTACAACTGACAATGTCCCAATTGAGATCTAATACAATGTTGTTTTTGAATTCAAGTAACTCTTTCTTCCCCTTTTCTAAGGTGGTAGTTTTACAACGACTGCAGGACTATATGCTGGAAACAACTCCTTGACGAACTCGACTGGCTTCAATAGTACGCAACAGGTAGTCTCCCTTTTTATATCAGTTTATATGTCAGAATTGAAGTCCAATCTGGAAGTTTTTATGAGGCATACATAGTCAATATGTTTCAATTCATCCGTGACACTTCCAAACATAAATCAGCCATCATGTCTACAGCTCTGTCTTCAGCATAATCTATAGAGGCTAGCTCCTTCAACCTGTAACACATGTATAATGCCACACAGGGAAAGTGTGTGCTTGTAGAAAGAGACCAGTCATTGTCCAGATGTGCACAGAAGAGGCACATGTTTGCATTTATGCTTGGGAATCTGCACTGTAAAGTAGCAGTACAAGTGAAATGCACATTTCACAGCATTTCTATACATTTTGGATTGGATTTTTTCCACTCCTATCCCAATTATCCACCAACCTTCATTAAATGTGTACATTATACACTCCTTGGCTGTGGTTGTATCCAGGACAAAGCCACTTTCATTTGATAGTATATGATTTATGTAGTGCACAAGAATGTGTATGGATTTTTCCTTTTATTATCTTTATACAGTTGAAACCGGATGTTTCAAATTTGCTGTGTATACATTGTTTCTCATTGTCTAAACCTAAACTTCTGACTTTGTAGAATGTGATATTATTACTTCAGAAGCTTTGAGCCAATGGAAATAATATTGGTGAAAATAATTGGCCTAAAACGGATATGTATTTTACATAATCTTCCCATTGTGGTTTTTTGTCGTCTTTGGTCTGTCAAACAGGAAGAGTTGTTATTTTGTTGTTCGTGAACTCCATATTATTTGCTCCTCCACAGGACTACCCCGGTTACCCTGCCTTCGGCCAGGGCCAGTACGCACAGTATTACAACAGCTCGCCGTACACGTCGCCGTACATGACCAGTAACAACACCAGCCCCAGCACGCCCTCCACCACCACCACCACCTACACGCTGCAGGAGCCCCCCAGCGCCATCACCAGCCAGGCGCTCACAGAGAACCCCGCGGGTGAGGCCCACAAAGACGGGCTGATGCTGGGACCATACACCACATCAATAAAACTAAGCAAAAACCAAGCATAAATGCAACTATTCTTTCAAAAGAATGCATTTTAGTGTTAACATCCATCATAAATATAAAAAACAAGGAAGACATAATGGGTCCAGGGCAGATATCAAAATTGAATAAAATGTCCGAAATAGGATCCAAAAAGATTTCTTATTTTCTTAAAATTAAATATATAAAAGTTATTGTAGTTGTGATGAATGGTTGATAATTCACTAATTACATTTTTATTTGACCTCTTTGGACAGACGAGAGAGTCCCTTAGAATTTCACAGACATTAAGGTAAACTCATTTGCTCTGGCTACCCAGTTGACATCCATTTGTTACCTCTACAGTAAATCAATTTGACCAAAAGCCTTTATTACGTTTACAATCTTTTACCTATAGCCTTAGATAATGTCTCCGGAAGCGGCCTGTCCTCTCCCAAGACAAATCGTCCCTCTTGGCTCTGACTTCACTAAAAGCAAATAATAGCTCATCTTTTTCACCTGCTTCCTTCTTCCTTTCAGCAGAGTACAGTACCATCCACAGTCCATCAACCCCCATTAAAGATTCAGATTCGGATCGATTGCGCCGGGCTTCGGATGGAAAGTCACGTGGCCGAGGAAGGAGGAACAACCCATCACCGCCGCCCGACTCCGACCTTGAGGTAAGGGTGAGCCCGCTGCCGTGGCGACAGACGGCCCAGCCCTGTCTGAGGCCCATAGACACTAATCCACTTAAGATATGGCGTTCACACTTGATGGGCAGTTGTTCTTTAAATATTTCATTGCCTAACTATAACTGCATTATTAAGGCACTCTGGAATAGATTAGATCACCTATGACTCATAAAGATTTCCTATTAAATAAACAATAAGAGACGGGTTAGCTGAGGTGGAGAATGTAAAGGCCAAATCCATGTGAAATCATTGCTTGCATTTCTTAATTTGAAAACTGTCAAATCTAATGTGAGCCAGCTGTAATCTTTTTGCTTTTAAAATATTGAAAGTATTTGATAGACATTTGTTCTGTTTTAAATTTGATTCCTAACCTATGGATGCATTATTAAGGAGCTCTGGGATATATAAGACCACCTATGACTTGTAAATAAACAATTAGACTGTGATTATTAGAAGTGAATAATATATATTGAAGGCATGAGAGATTAGCTGACACAGACACGGTTAGGCCACGCACTATAAAACACTTCAGCAATATGTCAAAATAAAGTGTGGCTAATTCAAAGGCCTCTTCATTAATACGATATGATCTGGACTCTGTAATAGCAGCCGTTATAGCACTTACATCATAGCGTGTTAACATATCTAGTTAATTAGTTTGTCGGTATTGATCAGGCTAATGTAAAAGGGCAAAGGGGTGGAAATGTGGCGGGTGATGGGAGAAGTGTTGCGGTGACCAGCCCCAGCAAATGGATCCAGTGGTGCACAAATACACGGTCCTGGCCTATTGACCAGAGGATCACCTTGCAGTCCAACAGAGTGCACCATTGATTTTGCTTCCTTTTCTGTTTTTTTTTTCCTGGTGGTGGTTTCTGCCCTCACTTCTGCCGCGCTCCTGTCCCATCTGTCCAGCGGGTTTTCATCTGGGACCTGGATGAGACGATCATCGTTTTCCATTCCTTGCTCACGGGTTCCTATGCCAACCGATTTGGACGGGTGAGTGACGTCATGCTGTGGCCGAGGGTCTGAACCCAGAGCATTAGTCAGTGAGGAAAAGGTTCACCATAAATGCATTTTGTTTCGACAGTTTTTCCAGTGTATTCCCATCACTGAAGTGCAGTTATTTGAATTATGAATGCAGAGGTGGAAAAAGTACCAATCTTAGGTCATGGGTACTGGATTAAAGTATAGATACTCACATAAAAAAAACAACTCTAGTAAAACTGAGTGCATTGAAATCATTCATATCAAGTATAGCACAACCCTATACTAAATCTCTATCTTTAGCTTAATAAAGAAGCAATTATAAAAGTGTATGTAGTGAAATCTAAATTTTATACAAAATCGAGAGCGTGAGATCATTTTCACTGTGCCATGTATCCATAATACAAAACTCAATGCCATAATTGTTTCTTATTTTAATTGGTCCGATGAGGCCTGGGGAGAATGTGAGTGCTTGTCGCAGCTGTTAAAGTTATGCACGTCTGCTGCAGGGGCTTCCAACAGTTGCACTCTGAATGTCTATTGACACATCCTAAGTGTTCCTTTCTCCTTCAGAAATGCCACATTGTTAGTTTAATTAAGTGCTTCTCAATCCATCCTTTTCAGGCGGCGGTCTCCCTGGAGATCAGGGGCAAAGACTAAGTAAACCCAATGCAACTCGGAAAATTCAGGCCGTCATTGCGAGGGTCCCTTTTTAGCTTTAAGTAAATTGCGTCCAGTATTTGCGGCTTGTATATATTTGTACAAACGTATAACCAAATCCTTGAAAGCTCACTTCATAATTGCTGCAGATATTCATTTCTCATTCAGAATATAGGGTTTTAAAGGGAAGAGTTTACTTTTCCAGGCTTTGCTATTTGTTATTTCATGTAAATTGTGCCTCTAAATTTAAACTCTGAAAATAAACAATTTGGGAAATCAGATGAAATCCTATTCTCATGGTTTCGCGGGGGTTGCCGACTCTATAGGCTTCACATGGCAGAGGTTTTGTTCATTATGGGGGATTCCAGATTGGGTTGTTCTCTCACAAGCTGGAGATTTCTTTTAGTTTTCTTTTGCATGGTTTTGTTTGACTCTGTTACATCTTTGGATCAGCCTTTTCAGAAAAAAAGTTTAAACTAAAGGACCACCCACCCCTAACTGTCAAATAGTGACCCACAAGATTTTTTTTTTTTACAGGCATAAACATAAACATACTGCATTTTGTGGTTTGATTTCATGTTTTCTGCTGAGACTCGCATGTATCCCAACGATATCCCAGCTTTAAACATATCGCTATACTAGAAAAGTGAAATGCGTTTACTTGGTTTGAAGAAAGATTAAAACGCTGGTCGTTTTTAATCTTTTCTACATAATCCTGGTTTGTTTTGCCAGCGTAGGTGTGTGGTTTTTGAAGTCTAAAAGTCCTCACTCCTCATATGTCCCAGGGCTTAGCGTCGGAGGCCTTTGTTCTGGAATGAGGGGTTGTTTGATGGGGGCAGTGTTGTGTTTTTGGGGTGAAAGAGGGCTGCCCCGCGACCCTCTACTGTTTATTTACTTTATTCTGGAGCCCGGCATGCTGAGTAAAGAGAGGGAGAGGGAGGCCGCGCACACACACACGCACACAGGGTCTGCAGTGTGCTCCTCTCCAACAGGAAGCACTGCGGACTCCATAAGGGCCCGCTCCATCAGAACTGGTGTAGGATGTGACAGCCGCTGTAGCCCAATGCTCTGCTGCCTTTCGTGTAGTCCCTCAATACCCAGAAAAACATGACTGTATCTTCATAATAGCATCATCTTTAAGGTTTTTAATTGTGAGTGATATTCTTTTTAATTCAGTTTAGAAGGGCCACAGAAGTAGTGATGGCAAGATATATCGACGTCACAATAAGATACAGTATTATAGACTGTACAATGACAATGCTTTTATATTGATTCTGGAATAGATAATTTGCCTCCCTGTCCGTCGGTCTACCCTTTACAATCTAGGGCTCAAATCTAGGCCCTATGTTTTGAAATGTAATCCGAAATAAATGCATGTTTTGAAAGACGTGCAAAATATCACCTCAGATGCACCGTCTGTTATTGATGTTCCATAAATAAACACTTGATTCTTATTACAGTGAACACAATGAAAGGCAATGACCTTTTTAATCCATATTACTCAGGCTCGGAGCAGCACTAAGCACACTTTAGACGTTCTTGTGGCCTATCGAAAAGTCTGATCTGTAAACTTCTACATGTTATGCAGTCCCCCATCTGTCGTGGCGTCTATCTTCGGAGCGATAAACAAAAACATTACAAACATTTTTTTCTACGCCAACTTTGCTATAAATAGACGTTTATCTCACTTTCTCTCCCCCTATGACCTCCCTGGATCGCACAGGCCTAACACATTGCAGCTCGAATCAGCTCTTTTAATTGGCATCAAGGCAGCTCGCCCCTATAAAGCTGATGGTTGGGGCCAGCTGTGCAGCTTTTGAGGCGGCTGGTTTTAAGTGGGTGTGGGGGAAGCGTGTTATTGGTAAGGGGGGGGGGGGTGGTCGGGGAGGTGGGTCTTGGCGCCCCTGTGGATGGTACTGACATTTTGGGACAGGTGGTGGTGGAGCACTGACAGCACTTCTCCTCTGCTTGTATTCTTAACTCGCTCACTGACTGATTGTTTAGGTTTAATTGGAGCTCAAGAGAGACGAGCTTTTCCCACCAAAACCCTCTCCCAGTCGGCCTTACGCAAGTCCTGTGTTGGAGACTGAATGTACAATGTGGGCAATAATAGAACTCCTCATGATTGACAGTTTACCTACTTTACAATGCACTGTTTGTTGTAAATGGGACATAATTTATCAATGTTGCTATTGTTTTACATTTACATATACATTTGCTTAAATACATGTTGTTTCAACCATATTTTTCAGTGTCTTCAGTGCAGTGCAGTTATTTGAAATACAAACATAATTTTAATAGAAAACCAGAAGTACTCATATAAAGATCAACTCAGGAAGTACAGGAATGATTTCAATGCTTTTACTAAAGTACCAATCAAATTTTATGTCTTGTTTTCAAAATTCTTCACCTGTATAAAACTAAATGTACACATCAATTTATACTTGTGTAATCAAATACTATCACGTGACTTTTAACATGGCATATATTAAATTTTAAAAAATCTGAATGTGAATTTGATCAGCGACTTGTAAGTGGTACCAACAGTAGAGCATAGCACATATATAAGTTACACTGAAGTTACACCAAATTCAAACAAATTCATCTCCTTTTACATAGAGTTTTAACAATCCACGCACAACTAATCCTGATTCAGAGTTTGCGAGAAAGCCGTTCCAAAAGTGGAGATTGACTACTTCTTGTGTGGTTTATCCGCTGTCAATTTGCAAAAAACATAAGCATTGTTGAGAGTGGCAGGTAATCAGTGAAGAGCTCAGGTGGGTCTCAGGTGCTTTAGGCACATAATCCCAGCTCCCGGGTCCAGGCTGCGGAGCATTCAGACCGGACTCACAGCTGCAGGACCCTCCTCCACACCCAGCTGTTGTTGCACACACTCTGTAGATGAGAGTTACCATCGATTATAAAAAGAACCTGTGCCAGCAAAAAATATTAAACAAGTCCAAGAAGTGTGGATGTTTTTTTTTGTATGCACTACTTGAACCTTATTTAACCCAAGACATTTACAAAAGCACGTTTGAGTACATTTCTGATTGGCTTGCCATTATATCATCTGAATTCTGTCATTGAAGAATTAAAATGGAGGGTTACTATTTTAAAATCAGCCCTCAGCGTTTTCCCTTTATTCCTAATCATACATTTTTATTAATTAAAGGCTATTCATGTTTCCTTGTTCAACAACTGGCCTGCTGTCAAGTGTATAAACCTGGGTGCTACAAAGCCACATAAGAAAAGGGCACGTTGATCCCTGTGCTCATTTTTTGCCTGTTCATTATCTTTTAAAAGGAAAATCGCACCCATTGTCACTGCCTCATTAACTATTTAAAGCCTCGTTTTCTCCTCTCTTGGTATTGTCTTACACACAGCGCAACAATTTCTCCATTACTGCAGTGTTGAGTTACTGGCAGAGATGATTATTTTAACTAATTTAGCATATTTTTGTGTTGGAGAGGACAGATTACTTTTTTTTATGGTTAGTGTGTGACGCTACTCCCTAGATGAACGTAAATTTTGGCTCCAGTTATAAACAGTCTGTCTAATATTTTGTATTTGAAAACTAAGTCTTAAGAATTTACAATATATTTACATTCAAAAAGTTATTGGAACCTAATGGTGCAAATAATGGGGGGTCCACAACCAGCTTTAAACATGGCCATCTTGTATTTATTACATCTTATATTTTTGCGCAATTGTTAATAATTCCATACTGTGAAGACCAGGCACCGCAGTAACATCTTAAAAGAGAAGAAGGCAGAGGTCCCTTCAGAAGTTATAGTGCAAATGAATCATGTTGGACTGCATTTGTTTTTATGATATTCCATGTTTGATTTATGTTTCTGTTTTTGGTCTTTCAGGATCCTCCAACGTCTGTGTCCCTGGGGCTGAGGATGGAGGAGATGATCTTTAACTTGGCCGACACGCACTTATTTTTCAACGATTTAGAGGTGCGTAAACGACTGTCGCGTCACACGTCCTTATAAGTCTGCATACACGTTCGACAATGCAATATGGTCGGCGTGTCTTGACTTATGAATTATGCCTCATCCCTCCCGCTGTGTGCCGTTCCCTTTGCAGCCATTGCAATTTGTCAGGCTCCAGTGTTTCCAGCAGAGGCCCTTCTGTCTGTGCGCCCCGCTGAGCTGCACGGTGTCACTGTCCACCTACAGCACGACACTACCCCCCCACCACCTCCACAGCCAGAGAGTGGTGTAAAACAGCCTCTAGGTCAGGGACAGTGGGGCAGCAACATTAGTGTGTGATTGTTTGAAGTCATGACTTTGATTAAGATTATTGCATCTTCACTTGATTAGTCTAATACAGTCAAAGTGAAATGTATCGATTTAAAGTGATAAAATGCTCTTCAGTATCCTTCAGTATGCGGGATAATGTGATACTTGCCAGGATTCACTGGTTTATATGTAAAAAATGTATATCTGCCATAGTTATTGTTCAATAGCCATCCCTCCAGCTTTATATCCAAGCCATATGCTAGTATATACTTAGATTATATTTTAATTTGCAAATCATAAATCAATTCTACAGAACATTCAACACTCTTTTCTGTAATTGAAACGCCTCGTAAGAAAAATGTGTGGGTGGTTATTTGAATTTATTAACCTTGTCCTGGATTTTTTTCCTCCCCAATCCCACCGTCCGACCACTTTCCCTCAGTGTCCTGTCAGCTGACCTCATAGGAGAGGAAATGTTTTGTTTGATACTTAAGTGTGAAGAGATCTGTGGCCGCTCTGCCAAGTCTCATTACTCACCACCATGTTCTGCTGTGTTACAAAGCCAGGCCTCCAAAACTGAAAGAAAACCTTCATATTCCTCCAGACAGCAGAGTGACTGGGATCCCAAACGCGGTGATCAAAGTTAATTGGCTCCAATTGGCTGCTTAAATATTTCCTTATGCCTCGACCATGTACTTTCTAATGTAGCTGCACTTTGTTTAATAGATGTGCCCCAATCATTTGGAAGGGGCAGTGTGTGTCTCTGTGACAGCACTTGAATGTGGTTTTGCTCAACATCTGTCCCGTGTTTTGATTTCTTTTCATCTGTCATGAAGCTGTTCAGGATTGGCAACTCAGGCTACTACAATTATCTGAAAACATAGTGGAGCCATATCTGTGTTGTCTCAAATACAAAACGTTTTTAGTTTCTTTTGTGTGCATGGTTCCATAGCAGAGAATGTTCTAAAGAAGGTCTGAAAACTGGAGTGACATTATTTTTATATTGATCCTAATGCCTCAAACAAGCCTGGATGCATGTGTTAAGTGCATTCAGCATTGCCTACACATTTGTGCTTCCTCTCCCATGATTTACAGTGCTGCATCTCAAATAGAGTTAAACAGAGTCCAGCTATAAATACAGCAGCAGTTATGTATTTAAGCATGTGCAGAAATGCATATGGTCGCTCTAATTTAGTCTGCGCCATAAAGGGAGCCCCCAGAGGCAGAACACAGGTGCACAGCCAGTAGCCAAATGTTGCTCTGTGAAAGCCTTAGCACTGCCAGCCAAGTACAAGCCGCACATGACTTCTCGTTATTTTAAATGTCATTGACAAATAGAGATCTATTTTACATGTTTAAAATGTTAACCATTGTTAATATGGCTGAGGTTACACATTCTCTGACATTTTGAGACAACATTTTCAAGAAAGAATCCTGATTTCTGATGTTGACATAAACTTGGAAAATTGCATGACAGTTCCAGTGTCACACAATTAAGGCTTTTTTTGTTCACCTTTTCCTAAAGCTTGGGTACCTAACTTACCTACTTTTATTTTTCATAAATAGTACATTTTATTTTTTTATATACTAGATACTTTGCACAGTACATGTCAACATGATTAAAGCAAATTTCAAGTACCATAGACACACTTTTTTTTGTCTTTTCACCCATTGTGCCAAACAGGTAAATACTATCATATTATAATGATAGTGCCAATAGTACATTTTCTTTGTCCCAACAGATGAAAATGCCAAATGTTCACAACATTTTACAAGATTCTAAGACCACAACATCTTTATCTTATTAGAAAACATGTTATCCTCTGCATACGTAAAACTACGTAAGAAAAAGCCTTGTGAGTCACTATTTGACATTTTAGGCAGAGAGCTGATTGGTTGAGTGAGGGTGGTTCTTTCTATTTCACATTTCTGTCTGAGAAAATGACATGTGAAAACTAGTGATGGAACCTGTTTTGAGAGCGAGAAACGAGTCCGATGGATTTCCACACATAGTTCCTTGTTGTCTAGTTTGAAAGTTCGGTACCTCAGCTTTAAAAACATTTTCTAAAGTACAGTTTAATTTAATTCTAAAGCAGTGTAGTCTTGTGCTTCGCTCGAGTTTGTTTTCAGCTACAGTGCAGCATCAGTGGTTGCTGTGTGTGAATGGAGGCTGGCCTGTGTTGATGGAGCTGGTGAGTGACGATTCAGAGGAAAGTCATAAAAAGAAAGAGGGCATGCCGAAGGGGTCAACAGGGATCAGTTTCACCCTGACGTCTGTGTTTTTTTTTCTGCCGCAACCTTTTTCTGGATCAGCGCTCCTCAACTTTTCATTCATTAGATCCATGGAAGACAACAACAGTGTCTGTCAATTTGAGGGAAACGCGACAAAAAAAACAAAAATGTGTGAATTCATTGTTTTTAATTGAGACAGTTTTTTGATACTTTAAAGCTGACATACTTTAAAACCACAACAAGCAGAAGCTTCATCGCTAGTTTTTGCATGCATGTATGTTTTGTCCTCTGTCTCATCTTATGATCAGCTTTTTCAGACACGGAAAAGAGGGCCTCGCTCAGCCAATAAGCTCAGTCCAAAGCATCAAATAGTGATTCTCAGTATGCAAAAAAATTTCACAATCATAAGGCAAAATGTTGTGGTCTGATTCATTCACAACATTTTACTTTCAGTAGGACCAAAATAATGTCATTTTTATGAGGGGGAAAGGAAAAGTGGGGTACACCAGATTTAATGAATCGTTCATAAAATGACAGCACAGCATTCAAGAGTTGATAGAGTATAGCGTATTTATTATTGATTTACTTTTGCTGGATTGGAAATGGCAAAGTACAGGATTGTATTGTGTGTGTAATGAGTGGGATGTTGACATAGCGTGCTTTTGCAGTCATAAATGTCATAGTGGCAGTGGGCTGAATGTGGCTCTAATTAATGTTGTGTGGTGATATGGATAATGAAGCCCGCAGAGGCTGAGCTGAGCAGAGACTGACAGCTCGCCTCAGACTGGTGTGGGTTTACTGTGGGTGCACTGCTCCCAACCAAAGCTCTGTGTGAGAAATGGGGCCTCTCTGGGCTCCCCTCACAGTAGGGCACAGGGCCGCTGGCTCACCCTTCTCTGGGTGAGAAAAACAAGCCTCCCCGTCTGCAGGAGAAAGGCCATGGGGGCAAAGTACTCAGAGTAAGGGAGAAGGGAGAGGTGTGCAAAGGTGGGAACATTTTAAATTAGTGCAGTGCTGCCTCCATGCTGCGCCTCTTTGTCCCACACTCATTTACACATATTACTGTAATCTGGTGAGCGTGAGCCCAGGCTTTTACTGCTCCCTTGCTGCACTGTCACTCTCACCCAGGACCGGCCTGTTAATGAGAGATACTGTGAATCGCACGGTTACCTTTTCCTCCTGCCTCTAATGGTCCTCCTGGGCCTCTTAGCGTAGAGCATTTGGACAGCTTTTATTTCCCACTGTAGATCCAGATCCTGCTCTGGTCGTTCCATGTGACTGGTGGCTTTACAGTGTTTTTCTTGATAGATTTTGAAGACTCGTTTTCCATTTTATTTCCAGTAAGGAGAAATATGACATTCACTGCACTTTTCATTGAATCATAAAATTAAGTAATCCAGTTGATCCATCACCAATTAACATATGTGGCATGTGGCCCTGTCTAAACCCACTTTGACAGATATTTTTCTATTTGTGAAATATTATGTTGGAAGAGTCACAAGTGCAACACAGTCTAGTCCATTTTTATTTCTGGTTTAGAGTGTCATTTGGGCTGCTGTGGCCCACACAGAGTGGTGTGGTATTTGATCATTAGCCTGGCCACTGATGCAGCAGTCCTGTCATGCTCCTCGACATAACTCCATCACGTTTCCAGGCGAGACCGTTCATGTGTTTTGGACTCAGTACAGAGAGAAAGTGGAGGCTTCAAAGCCACCTTGTCAATCTGACTTCCCTAGAACTGTGGCTGCTCCCACCCACTACCCACTATCCCAACACAGCCGCTGTACGCCCGCTGGGCCTGAGCACACCCACAATATAGCATTACTGTTTAGTGACAAATGATAGAGCAGAAGACAACACAGATGCAGCAGCTGCTTTGTCACTTCTCAAACCAACATTGTAAAACACTGAATCGACTTGTCTTTGTGGATGAGTTCATTTTGGAGAAAACGCTGAAACAACAGAGATTTGATCTTGTACTTTATCACAGCCCTTCACAAAGTGTGGTTTGGACGTGTTACGCCGAATGTGGGAAAAAATTAGGAGCACCCAATCTATCAGACTCAGACAGGACTAAATTATATTTCTGCTGCCTACCACACGTCTGACAACATGCTCCCTGCGGCTCTATCCGTGGGTCATGTGAATTCACTCAGACCTGCAGGCACTGCTCTGTACCTGTGCTTTGTTTGGCGCCGCTGTTTGAATTCCTTGACTGTTCAAGCACAGATTGCGAATTGGAATGAAGTGGGTTCGAAGAAGTCCCCCTTTGTTGCCCACATCCTGTTTGACCCTCAGGTAATCGCACACGGCCCCTCCCTCTTCCACTGCGCCGTGGTGGGAACGGACTAGGATGTTGTTGGGGGTCACGCACAGTGGGGCGGGGGGTAGGAGTGACAGGTCTGTCTGTGGAGTGGCACTATTGAGAACCTGCGAACCATGGATGAAGCCTGTTCACAGGGACACTGCTTGTCGGCCCACCAGGAATGCAGCGCTGACTTTGGCTGTTATCAGCTTTGGCCTGCCACACCCGCCCCCAACGCACTCACCTGAGAAACCTGGCCTTAATGTAGATTTTACATAATCTTTGTTAGATTTAGCTAGAATTAACATAGTTTGACAGAGTGTGGGATTATATATACTGTGTAAAATTATTAATTATTAATTGAGGCTGCTTACAACTAATTGATCGTGTAGTTATTTTTACCCAAAATCTTACACAGTGTAGTATAATGTTTGACTCCTATTTAAAAACCTGAGGTGCCTTTACTGCAGCTAAATTCTTTCAATTTGCAAATGATTATTGCAATAATGTGAAATCAAGAATAGCAATTCGATTACCTGCACCTAAACAAAGATACAGCTTTCTCCAAGCATATTTTTTCACATATTTATACAGTTTTGTCCGTATTGGTAGCTGAGCCAGTAGAAAATAGACGCTGCTGTGTTTTGCCAAACTTGTCCCAGTCTCCAGTTTTGTCTTTCTCCAGCCAACAGGAAGACTCCGACCGTCACTGCTGATTGCTTAATGACAGATGCCAGGGAACAACAGGGAACAGAGAGCGTTTTGATAGCTTCCTCCCCAGTGAAGACAGCCGTGCAGTGGGGGAGATAAAGGGGCTGAACTCATCCCAAAACGGGACGTGTGCTGTCTTCGCTTGTTGTGCAGTTGTTTCTGTCTTTCCCACAGAGATAAGCGCCGCTCGGTAACTTAATAAAGCCCAACCCGCCAAAAAATTGCTGATGAATTTTACAGAAAGACATAATGTTTGCATAAGAGGTAATTGCGATGGCTTCTTGTGGAGGGTCTTCACTGCTGAGTACAGTAGGAACATCTGGTGCAAGTTAGCGGTGATTGTAGGTTTTAGAGGGACCACTGTTTGCTTGGTGAGGGGAGAAACGGGGAGTTTGAATGGAAAAGAGATGCGCGGAGAATTCTCAGACTGGCTCACTATGTCGCTCCATTTTGAAGGCATGTCATTCTTAACTTGTGAGTGGAATCGCTGAGGGGCCGAGCCGTGATTCATAGCGGGAGCAGGAATACGCTCTGTCCCGGCTGCGGTGTTTACGACTTCTTCAGAACCGCTGCCTAATGAGTCACTGTAAGGTTATGTTATGTGTGGCAATACCAGGTTTGAGATCCTTTGTTGATTTTCTTAGTCTTTCAAGTTGCAACAATATATTAGATTCAGAATTTGGCCTAATTTTTTGTCATGACTTAATCTGAAAAAACTATGTGTAGATGTTTACTTATTGTTTAGGTCGATATTTACTTATTGTTTAGGTCGATATTAACTTTAGTTTAGTTAGTTTTAGTTTATTATTGTTTTCACATACACCAGCAGTGAAATTCTTATGTACCGATGTTCAGTACAGTATTCGGAACACACAATAAAACTCAATAAAACCAAACAGAGACAGAGTTATGCCCGGTTAAGTAGTCTTATGGTTTCGGGAAACTCATCCATCTCTCAATTTACTAGGGCTTTTAGTAAAAATATGTCAAGATGTGCTTTGCTTGTTATTTCTGCACTCTCTAATTAGCACGTTGCCTTTGACTATTGGGGTATAAGCAAACACCATACAATTAGACAATGATCCGGCAAGTGAGTGAAAGTGAAAGAGGTGAGAGGAGAGAGGAGCTTTAACCGTCAAATAATCTCCCTGATTCACCAGCAAGTAATTACTGGATAATAGAAGCATTCCAGTCACTTGCACCAGAAAAGCCTCATGTGAATGGAGTCTTTATGAGGCGTTTAACCCTCAGCACTGTTTTTGTTTTCCCAAACAAACAGACTTGCCTCTACTACTTAAAGAATTAGCCACATCAATGCATTTGCGGTTTGGAAATTGGTTGCGAACATAAATTACCCACAAGTCGGTAGGAGTATGTTCAAGCTGGGACAAATTGGTTCTTTCTGCAGCGATTAACGGAGCTCTGTGGGTGTATGGAAAAGATAGCGGGAGCTCGCCGTATCCAATCGGTGGAGCGTCTTCATGTGCGGTCAATGCGGTGCCCGCCATCTCCTGCCGTCTGAATCTGGGTGTCAGAGCCCTAGAGAGGATGGACGGGTCACCAGGTCAAAGTCTTTTCCTCTTTGGATCTTGGGGCTTGCTGGGAGAGGCTCGCTGAGAGAATGGCTGCATTAGAGCAGAGGTTGAGGGTCAAGATTTTAATTCTGTTAAAGAACAGCTGGTTTGAGTTTCCCCACACATCAGCGTGTCCCTCTGCCCTCACCCCACAAATCCAGGGAGATGAAAAATTTGTTCAGAGGGGAACTAGTAAAATAAAAAAGGTTTACGGTCCAAAGCCCTTACCCTTACCCTGCCGTAGCATTAGGGAGGAATGCAATAACGTCAGCATTTGGCCTCAGTAAGATTGGACTTAAAACAAGGAAGTGCTTTCTCTGTTTGGCCATCTTAACAGCCGGATGAAAACTTAATTAAAAAGATTCCCAAATCAAGCTGGACTTTTCATACTTGCACTTGAGAAATTCTTTTCGTTCCAGTTGCATGGAATATTATTATTTCTTGCATAACTGTAAGAACTCAACAGGCAGCACTCAAAATGCCAAAATAACACTTTTTAGAGGAGTTTTCAAAAATTCAGTTGACATCTTATTGATTTAAAAGCCATTCTGACTTAACAAGATAATTGTTCAAGATTCACTAAAAGATTTTCTCAACCAAATGTGTTGATCCCACTGCCATTGCCGGACTGCCTTAGATTCAGAGGAAATGAGAAAAAGAAGGGAGAGAGGCACTGGAGTACTCCTATAAATGGAAAACTAATAACAGATTTTTTGGCCTGCCCTCCCCTGCACTGCTCGCACTGGGCTCTAGCCCCAGGGCTGAGTTGGTGTGTGGCGCAGCAGCAATCAGAGGTCATAATTTCATTGGCGGTTAGCATCAGGTTCAATTTTTCTCGTAGGTTACATTCAGCAGAAAGTCTGGATTGTGTTACGGTAGAGCGGCAAAGCTGCAAGAATACCTTTTACCTTTCCGAACACCGCCAGGAGAGATGTATGTTTAGGGCATAGACTGTATATAGATGGACAACGGTAACCCACTAGCTCAATGAGGCCCAATAGGGAAGTGCTCATGCAGGAAGTTTTGCACCACCTTGCTCTGACTCTTATTGACTTGTATTGGAAAGCATCACACTCACTCTTTAGGCTTAAAAAATCTGTGGTCCTGGGGGTTTATTTTTATCTTATATTTGTAAATCCAGCGAGGATTGACGACGTGAACAAATGCCCATTTAAGGAAATTAGTGCCAGCAAATCAGCCTCTTCTACATTCAGTAAACACTATTGGTGACGTCAGCACTCGGTCAGTCCGCTCACCTTCGCAGCCTCAATCGTTAATTTCTCCATAGAGATCAACAAAGTTTATCTTTTCTTATCTAATTCAACATTTACAGTACTATATTTATGCCTTTAATATTTTGAATTAATTAGCCTGACATTAGTCCTGGTACTACATTAATTTGTGACCCGCTTTATTAGATTTGTTAGATTTTATTTTTGTTTTGCTTCAAGAAAAGGATTTCAACGTGTTATTTCTAGCTCATTACATAACTTTGATCAAAAAACATCTTAATGTAATTTGACAAAATAACTGCCACAACAAACACATTGATGTTTGGCAACCCCAGAGCGGCTGTCTGTAGAGAGGCTAAGTGTGACGTGCATTGGTGGCGACATGGCTTTAGGCTAATGGGGCTGGAATACAGAGTCAAGGAGAAGGGTATTAGGATGGGGGATTTCTGCCAAAGCCAATTTTCTAAAATAAATGTTTCTTTTTGTGAGTGCTAACCTTGAGCACATGGCGAATGTTGCTTTTGACCAACACAAACCCTTTCAAATGATTAACCGTTTTGGAAAATGTCTTTCAGGAATGTGACCAGGTCCATATCGACGACGTTTCCTCCGATGACAACGGACAAGATCTGAGGTAAAGTACAGCAATATTTTTTATTTATTTATTTTTCCACTCAAATGCCATGAATAGCATTTTAACATGTTTGTCTTTTTTTTATTCCATGCAGTACGTACAACTTTAGCGCTGATGGCTTCCAAGCAGCTGCTACCAGTGCCAACTTGTGTCTGGCCACAGGGGTCCGAGGAGGAGTGGACTGGATGAGAAAGCTGGCCTTCCGGTACAGACGAGTAAAAGAAATCTACACCACCTACAAAAATAACGTCGGAGGTAATCCCCAACAAGCCCCGAGCTCTGTACACACGTGTGTTGGCCCAAATGACTTAGCAGATGTCTCTTTGTGTGGGCACATGGTCAGGGCACCATTTTGAACCATTTTGCAGTGGTATTTGACGAGTCTGGTCCAAGCTAAACAATGTTTACCGCGTTTTGCAGGTCTGCTGGGCCCGGCCAAGAGGGAAGCCTGGTTGCAATTGCGAGCAGAAATTGAAGCCTTGACGGACTCCTGGTTAACACTGGCACTGAAAGCACTAACATTAATCCACTCAAGGTAGGACTTCAGAGGGGAAAGTTGTTTCTCAAGCCCATGCCACACATACACAGAGAACACACATGTTTTTATTATAGGAATAACTTAAAACGCATTCAATAACTGTTGGACCAATGTGTTAAAGCTGGGTTATCTGACAGAAAGACTCTGGTATGGGCCACAACATGCAATCTTCATCTTATTAGAAAACATGTTATCTGTTCCATGCTTGTAAGAAAGAGCCCCGTGGGTCACGATTTGAGGGTGGTCCACTTTTTTCACTTTTCTGCCTCAAAAAGTTGATCCAAATATATGCGGAAACCAGTGATAGAACCAAACTGTATTCAGAGCAAGGAACTAGTTACATGGACACAGAACATCAGATGGAACTTTCACTTTGAGGAACTAAACCAAAACCATTGTTCTGTTGTTTCAAACATTTAACACACTCTCCCGAACCGGCAACTTGTCTGGCTTTGAAAAACTTGCTGCTATATGACCCTTAATTGGATGATATTTAGTCCCCTTGTCAACAGCTGACCTTATTCTCTTGTTTTTCTATGTCCTCCCTGTAAGTGCTGTGTATGATGTCATGATTCTCTCCCTCTGCCCCATAGGTCAAACTGTGTCAACATCTTAGTGACCACCACACAACTCATCCCTGCTTTGGCCAAGGTCCTGCTGTACGGCCTGGGCATAGTGTTTCCTATCGAGAATATTTATAGCGCAACCAAAATAGGTAATGTCTCCAACCTTTTTTGATTCCCTGGCGTATATTTCTTTGCTTTTGTAACGTCTCGTCTGGGCGGTCAGTCAGTGTTCATTTAGAGTCCGAGGTGTGTGTTTGGGTGGGAGCCGTAGTCACCGGAGAGGCTTGATGTTCTTCTAATCAGCCTGGGATTATTTTCCTGCAGCTCGGGCCTCTGCGCTGCATATGAAACCACTTCTGTACATTTATATCATTCCACGCAGAAATCCCCTCACCCTCCACCACCTTCCCCTTTCCTCTTCTTCTTCACTGTTTCAAATGCAAAATAAACACGGGGCTTCAGACCTGCCATTTTCTCCTGCCTGTGTTGTGAATCAGGACCCGTCTGGATGTAGACTTCAGTTGTAGATTTAAACTATAAGCACTTTTCAACTTGAAGCTCAGTTTTATTTTTGTCCTAAATGAAAATGGAGCCACTCTCAAACAGCATACAGAGGGAGCCATGATATATTTAGGTAAAAACGTGTGCAACTTTTAGAGAGGAGAGGGGAGTTTTGCCTTAATTGTAAAGATAACAACGTTTAGTTTTCTAATTCTGCACGTCCTGGATACGCACAGAGCGGCCTTGAATTTTGACCATAGCCACTGCTTTGACATTATCTGTTCTTTCATCAAGACTTAGCCACCAACTGGATCTGTAGGATCATGTTTGATTATGTTTAAAAAGCCCCCATTACATGTTCAATGTGTTGTTATTAAAGGCATTCGTTAATTAGTTTTTTGTGATTTCAGGGAAAGAGAGCTGCTTCGAGAGAGTCATCCAGCGGTTTGGGAGAAAAGTTGTTTACATTGTTGTCGGGGACGGTGTGGAAGAGGAGCAAGGCTCAAAAAAGGTAAATTTTACTCTTTTTAAAGCAATATGCCACAAACATTTTTACTTTAATTTTCAAGGTTAAAATGCACTCTGGACACAAATCCATATGCCAAAATGATTTCAGTACCCATGTTTGAAGCATCAGCAGTGTTAATGTAATGCTTGTTCAATCCTCTCTGAAAATTGGTCATTCAAATCAAAGCTAAAACCGGTGAAGAAATTAAAACATTGTTTCAATGACATATATACACAATACTTTTGGATTCAACAAATTTGCCAATGCCGTGCAATTTGTTTATTCAGCATTCTGATCAAACTAGAAGCAAACCATGAAACAAACTAAAGTTGCTCTGTTAAAAAAAAACAATCTGTTACAACTACAAACTACAGGGCAGTGACTTAAGAGATCAGAAGAGAAGAGGGCACTAAGGTTAGTAGTGTCCAGTAAATGCATTATACTAGAGTTCATAACGTTACTTTTCTTGTAGCTATAATGTAACAGTCGTCTGTATTGAACCCACCTCCACCTAAAACCAACCTCTGCGGCTCACCTTTCTTGAAGCTATAGTGTTGTGAAAGTGGAACACACCCAGGGATCTCAGTCTTCTGGGATGAATGTGGAAAAAAAGATGCAAATATTTGTGCTCAGGTCGGACTTGTCGGAGTGTGACATTGATGGAAGGAAAAGCCGTGTTTTTTAGGCCGCTCTGAGTGCTGTGACTCCCGAGACGCAGCATGCGGTAAAAGGTTTCTGTGTCAACATCAGAGAGGACGTGGAATAACACAACAATTTGAGCCGTCAAGAGCGCAATATGGGACATGACAGTGTGCAACTACAAAAGCCAAGGAGTCCCAAGTGCGCCCCACTCCTCGGAAAGCAGTGAACTACACTGCTCTTAGTTATTAGCATAGCTGGAGTGGAGCCACAGATAACATCTCCTGCTTTTAAACTTAAAAGCAAAGAAAATTTACAAAACAAAAAGCAAAGAGCTCTCTAAGGGTCAATGCAAGCTCTCCTAAGCGGAACATGTGGCTGTCGCTGTGATAAAGGCAGGTAATGGGCTCCACACTGAGGGGACGCCACCTGACAGCCCCTCATTCACACGGCTCATGTTTCTCAGTCCTCTGGCTCTGCCTTGTCTGCTGACAGATGTATGTTGTTGTTGTTGTTGCTTCATCTTTACTATACTTTTACTTTCTCAGTGCTCAAAGGGAAATCCACCTTTAACATCCATTTTTAACAGAAAATATAGTTTGTAAAATACTTTTCTAACGTGTTTTTCTGTTCCTGCAGCACAACATGCCGTTCTGGAGGATCTCCAGTCACTCAGACCTCATGGCCCTGCACCACGCCTTGGACCTGGAGTATTTGTAGCACTGCAGCAGACTGTCTCCGGCCGTTCTCCTTGTGCCCATGGCTTGTGCCGTGGTGCCGCCTGGCATCTCTGACTGAGGGACCCCAGAGCTGGGCTAATGTGCTGACACACAGTCACACTTGGTCTTAACCCCAAACCTTCAGTTTTTGAGGAGAGTGGAGAATTTACGGCGGCGCAGCTGCTTGCCCTGGTTACTGTGAATGGGCCGCTCTCTGAAGCTGTCGGAGTGTTTTACGGCGTGCTCTGGTGCCGGGACCCAGTCAGGGTTCACACCTGTGAGGAGCTACTGACTCGCCTCGGCTAACCTCGGCACCGCGCACACTAAAGCACTCAGGCTCGGCACAACTACTGGCGCTGACGGCCTTCTCTGAGAAGCTCCGCCCCCTCCAGTGCTTTGACTATCGGCCACCTGTCCCTTGTGTCGCCGGACAGACTCCTCTGTGACATTGCCTGGGACGTCCTGTAAATCTTATTTATGAAGACTTTGAGAGTTAGTGAGTGGCTCTGAACCACTGAAAAGGTACCTCCGAGACTGAAAGACTTGTGCCTTTTTCAAAATGAGAGGAAAAACTAAAGGGTTTTCTAATAATTTAAGAAAATGACTTTATTTACAATGCTGAGACAATCTTGTACAGAGGAAATCTTTTGTGTGTAAGTTTGTAATCACTGGACTATTCCTTCCTATATTGATTTAGGTACTACGTGCTCTTGAAGGTCACTATGCTTTTCACGGGAGTCAAAACAGGCGCCCCTGAAGCCTGGAAGGTTTTTGTTCATTAAACGTAGATACAACTTTTTGTGATAAAGCATTTTGTCAAGACCAAAAGCATGGATGTCAAGTGTCAATTGCCTTTTTCTAATTTCTGCAATATTTCTGCTAGCTTTATTTATAGACAGTAGCACCACTACTTGGGTTCACAATTCTTTGTTTTTTTTGTCATCAGCCTCTTCATATCACATCACCAGCTTGCAGCCCGGATTCAATATACAGTACATCAAATGAATATCACGTAGAAACATTTCCTTTCTAATAACACATAAGATAAAGCAAGCTTGAATAGGTTTTATTATCTTTTATACAAGCACTCTACCAACACGTGTACAGCGAGTAGTCCTTTTGTAATGTAAAGTTTTTATTTCTATGTTTAAGATACATTCTGTGTCCCATTTTGAATAGTGCTTTTACATTTGTGGAAGATGGACAATTACAGAAAAAGCCTCTTCACTTTGAAAGGTTAACAAACAGACAGTACATGTGCTAGCAACTGTGAATTTTCTTAAACAGAATCTTTCAAATCTTCCCTCCTTTTGCACATGAAAACTGTTGGCCTTTCCCGATCGGCTCCGAATCGCCTCAGACAGACGGGGCTCCTATGTATTGCTGCTAGATCAAGGACATTTTAGAGGTTTTATAGATTCATACAGCACAGTTTTATGTTGCAAACTGGAAAATACTTTACATGGGCCTCATCGTGAAATGCAAGATTGTCGTTTCTGCAAAATGTGTACAGATGTTTTTGGACATTATTATTTGATTGTGTTTAAATTAATAAAACTTGATTTGTGAACTGTTACTGCACTTAAGCTTTTGACGAATAAATGAATCAGCCAACATCAGATACTCCTAACTGCTGTAGAATGTAGACTAACATCAGTAAAAGTCCACTTCTATTTCAAAGTGTCACAAAAATCCAAGAATTCAAGGGAAAATAATTTTGCAAGCCCAGTCAATCATTACTATAACGTATGCTTGCCTACATCAGAATTAATTAAAAAGCTCCTTGCGCTTTGGTTGACATTTGAGTTTTATGAACATACTGCATGTTTTATACACTCCCGGGGTTAATAAACTCGCCGTTCTCTCTGCCATATGAAGTCAGGGGCATGCACAATTTACCAACAGCGGCCTCTGCAAGCCATTCATTTCAATAACAGATGAAAAATATTTACGAGGCTGCTTTTATGAGGTGGATACAGTATGTAACACTAGACTTAACTGGGGAAAGGTATCGGCCTCCAAAACCACACCGGAGAATTAAACGTGAGACGAATTTGAGTACAAATTCTATCAATTTTGTTTGCAATACATATATTTTATTCATATGTGGTGGAAGGACCTCCGCTGATCTTGTCCCAGGTCCCAGCCGTGTAGACGGAGTCGTGTCTGAGGTCAGGTCCAGCTGAGAGGAGCAGAATAAAAGCGTTGTTCTCTTTGATAACTTTGCCTGCTGTCGGGGGCTGGCAGACGGACACAGACATGAGAGGAGAAAGTGGGTGTTGTGGCTGTCGGTACGCTGATGGTTTGGCAGCACATACATAACTTTAGAACAAAAATACTGGGGGAAAAAAAAAGTCTGGTGGGGTTACACTGCGTCTCATAAATGTCCAGACAGGGAAATGGATGATAAAATAAAGCTATTGACTGAACAATTCATTATAGGATCTAATCATTCCTGGTTCCTAATATTTGCCTCAAATAAAGAAGCTATTGGAAAAAGAATGTGCAATATAATACTTGACAATTTTAAGATATTTATTATCTACGGGTCCGTTTACACTTGTCATTAAAAGTGAACACAAACAAATGGACATTGCCATAATGAATGGGGCTAAATCAGGTCTAAATGATACAGTTATAAATCAGGACGGAAAAGAACGTCATGGTACAAAGTAATAATACATATATAAATAATGGTGTTGTAATGAGCAACGTTATAATAAAATAGATGGAAAAAGAAAAACTACTAAAATTCCTTTTTTATCAGAACAAAAAATATATAGAAATATATTAAACCTGCTTTTAAAGGTGATACTAATAACTCCATGTGTTTATTTTTTTAAAGATTGCATATATTTGACCATATGACCATTTAAGTTCATGTAAAAGGTTTCCTCCAGGTACTCCGGTTTCCCCTACCACTAAAAATATGTCCAATAGTTCTGGCATACGCCTCCTGTACTGGCGACCCCGCTCCCATCTCTGTGTGGAGTGAGAGGACAAATGCCCAAAAATTAACAATTGTAAACCGCTTTGTGTCTGTGAAAGGCGGTACATAAATAAAGATTACTTACTACTTACTTACTTACTTAAAGAAAGTATTTTTCAAAAGTAAAATATTGTACATAGTCCCTCTCCTTGGTATAACAGTCTATGGACATAACCCCCACCAGTAAGATCTGCTGCTGGAGACTAGTTTGACCATTGAAAGTGGGCCTCATCAAGGATTTCAATTAATTCTGTCCAATCAGTAGGCAGGGAGGGAGTTGCCTTGGGAAAAAAAAATGTCTCTTTCCACAATTCAAAAAGTAAATGACATTCACTTTAACTGGACTAAGTCTGGCTCACTTTGGGCAAATGCTTCACCGTTTCAAATGATGTAAAGTGAGTTAATCTGGACATACCCTGTGACATTTTTGGCCTGATTTTGCCACACACTCCATACTAAAAATGTGTGCCCACAAAATCAAGCATTTCCTCCCAAGTGAACCAGAATTGGTCAAGTTGAAGAGAACCAGACCCTAACCCAAACACACTGAAAAATGCATCATATATTTTAAGGTAAATAGGATTACATTCAGAATTGTTTGTTATTTTATTTTACTTTTATTCACATCGGTCCAGGCTCACCCGTGTGTGTCAATCCGCCTCCTCTGTGAGTCGACTGTACTCCCACTTTGGACATAAAGGGTCCATTACCTTCTCCAGTTGTGTGTTGGACATTCCTCTGCAGGACGTCCCACAAGAAAGATCCCGCCCTCCATAAAAGCACACAGCAATAATAAACAAAGCCATTGGTGATTTACGGCCTTACCCAGACAGTGATTTCATGCAGATTTACATGGAAGGTGGGGGGTGGGGGTCTGTGACGGTGCATCTCAATTGAACTTATATAGTATTACATGCATATCAAACTCTCCCCAAAAAACTTGATCTGCCACGTCTGTTTTTACGAGCGTCAAGACTATTAATAGGTTTTGCTGTTGAGGACCAGAGTCTCAGGTGTCGGAGCTGGACAGATGTGATTGTGACGTAACTAACAACTGTGACAACTCTGTATAATCCGCTGGTCCAATGGTTCTCAAAATGTGTTTCAGCCGATGCTCCGTTCTCCCATGCAAAGTCATTCTTACTTTTGTTCCCATTGAAATGTTGGGATTTCAATGAATCCGTAAAACTGGAAATGTGAAATATCAAAAATAAAGGTGTGTTCCTCATATTTCCAGTCAAATCAAACATGTTGAGATGAATCACAGCTGCTTGCCTTGGAAAATGATCTCCAACATTTTCTAAAAAAGTAAGCAATAGATTTTTCTTGTATTCCGGACCTTTTTGCTTTAAATCTAAATATAATTTTCAGTTAAATTTGATAAAAAACCAATAGCCATTGTTACATTCTATCAACTAAAAGGTATAGCAGGGATTGTTTTCCACACATAATTTTAGTAACAGAGTCGTTTGTTTGTACTGCTTGGATTCAGTTTTCATTTGCACAGATTTTTACAGCTGTTTTCACATTCAGACAACTTTTAATCAAAAGGTATTTACTTTATATCTACTTTACATTTGGCATGGATAGAATCACTCAGATTTGTGCAAAAGACAGAAGTGTGCAACCAGGTTCAAGGCAAAAATATAGTCTGTTCAGGATATATTATGTACAATAACGTGACATATAATCTTTCCTGGTCATATGGAAGAATTGTTGCTTCTTCTACTTCTCTTAAATTGAAAATCATGCGGATCATGTTTATATGCGTGTATAATTTTAACACTGGTATCCAATGTCATGCCCAAGCACTACTTTGGCCTTCTCCAGGGGCCTTCTTCTGAATCACGGTCTTTCTCTTCCCTCTTCTCGCTGGTAATAAACAATATAGTTTATTCTATACATTATACTTTACTATTATCGATTTAAAAAGTTGTTAATTATTATAAAAAACTTAATTATACTTATACTTATGCTTAATTATTATTAGTAAAGTATTTTTTTCCTAAGGTATTTGTTTCTTGGCGCGACATTGTCAGGCTCAGCTCCTGTCTAGCATATGCCTCCAGAGTCAGACTGACAAATGAAATCCACTGTGGTCGTTCTAAACTCAGCCTTTTGTTTGTTTGTTTCGACGTAACCATGATGCTCTGGGGCACAGGGACAGCTGGGAATCAGGAAGTGGTGGATGCCAGATCAGGACTGTCCTCAGTGTTCCCCAAGAGGCTGGCCCAGGACAGGGCTGTCCCGCACACACACTCCAGTCCAGGGGAAAGTCATTTTGCTCTGGGCCTGCGGGATTAAAGGCCAAAGTAGTTGTTTTGACATGCGCTTCTATAAGAATGATACGTCTAGTAGCAGCGGCCGAAAGCATAACAAAGCATAAGCAACAGGTGATATCATCCTTCCGCTCCCACATCTCGGCTCCAACGGGGTAAAAATACAGTGTTGATGTATGGTGCAATGAAACAGTGACTCCCTAGGGCTGAAATACACAGTGTGACATCAGCTGACACTTTAAAAACAGTCTCCCCGATAAAGATATGGACCTATTTGGTCACTAATCGCTCTTGATATACTTTTATATAACTTTTTAGTTAGACCAGACAAACCCAGATCGTAAAACTTTTTTTTTTGACTTGACTCGGGCAGTTTGAGGTATAAAACGCAGTACATTGTTCCTCAAAAGACCCCAACCACCAAATGATGGTCTTGGAGTGTCAAAGGTGATAGTTTTATGCTTCTGTTGTACATTAGTTTAAAAAAAAAGTTGATCCAAAACAGTTTTATTTTAGCTTCAGACACAATCAATAATTGGTTCATAATAATAATAATAAATCGCTACGCTGGGGTCACACTTCATTCACCCCACACGCAGCGGGGAAGGAATCGATGCAGTAAGTTTGTACAATCTGTCTCTAGCTCCGACCACCGCCATCATTCACACTCTCACCACATTTATACCGTTGCATGTTTTTTATGATGGAGGAAACTGAAGCGCCCAGAGAAGACCCACCCACACATGGGGAGAAACATGCAAACAGGCCCAGGTTGACATGGGATCGAACCCACATGAGTACTTTACCCACTCAGCATCCGCGCCAATGTTCAAGGTATATTTACAGCTATTAGCAACTTTTTCCAATGTATTTTGTTGTGTCAATCTTTTCAATTATCCACCAGGACTTGTTTTTTTCTCTAAGACTGAACAATTGGAAAGCCCTGGTCCACACTACTTAAACAGCAGGCATCTCCAAACTTTTTCACCCAGAGAGCTACTTTCCCAAGACGAAAAAGACAGAGAGCTACTCCTTTAACCGGTCCTGGGAAAAAATGAGTGGCTATATGGGTGAGAGTGAGCCTGACAGCGCATAATCAATATATCAACAGTCATTATTTATCATCATATATTCAAAACCTGCTCCTAAAGTATAATAAAAAAAATAATTATCTATAATAGATTCTGAAATATTCACTTTATTGTTTGATTTGTTCATGTTGAAATCCTTTAGCGAGTTACTTGGAAGGGGTGGCAAGCTACCGGTGGCGAGCTATTGGTGGCAAGCTATTGGTGGCGAGCTACTGGTGGTGAGCTACTGCTGGTGAGCTACTGGTGGCTAGCTTCTGGTGGGCGTTATTGGTGGCAAGCTACTGGTGGCGAGCTTTTGGTGGCGAGCTACTGGTGGCGAGCTTTTTGTTTGGATCTACTTGTGGCGAGCTGCTAGTGGCAAGCTACTAGTGGCGAGCTACTGGTGGTAAGCTACTGGTGGCGAGCTCCTTGTGTCAAGCTACTAGTGGCGAACTACTGGTGGTGAGCTCCTTGTGGCGAGTTACTGGTGGCTACCAATCTACAGGTTGGAGACCCCTGATGTATAGTGTTTTCATACATTTTTCCACATTTTTTATTCAACGTTTTAATTATTACAGCCTGTAGTAATTGGAAAGCCTATGATGGCACCTGCCCCGCGGTCAAACTCACACTGCTCATATTTACAGGGCCCACCGCACCACTCCGCTTGTGCGAGAGGGGCAGAGATTTATAAGGTCCACTCTGACTGCCCCACAACTACAAACTGTGTACTGGTACTGAAGCCCCAGAGGCTACTTGGCCCCGGTCAGACCTCCCTGCATGTCTACTTTTACTCTACGTTTTTTTTTCAATGTGTTTTTATCTGAGGTGTAAAAAAAATGTTGATGTTCTTTGAAGAGTTTTGATACAGATTGGTTAATTGGTCCGGTTAGGCCTTGGACTTGTGCCAGTGTTTTCTCATCTGGCCCGCTGTCATTCAGTAAAGCGTGTGTCATGTGGTTCATAAAACCGCCTCCTGTCTGAACGATAAGTCATGGCTGGTGTTTTTCTTGGTTCAACTTTTAATGATGGTTATTCTAGGCCCAGAGCGGGACCCAAGTGTGAAGGAGGACTGGAACTTTAGTACATTTGTGGACTGGTTGTTTATGATGGCTTTTTTTACATTTGAAGCATAGATACTCCAGACACCATCTATTCAAATGGGCTTTATATAGTCGTTTATACACAAAAGTATCTGCTTTTTGTACCGGATTGATATTCTGCAACAGCTGGAAAAGAGAGGCGGATTTTTTGGACCCATGTCAACTTTTCACCACAATATGTCCAAATATACCCGCAAAATACTCAACAGGACCACAGCAGGGGTCTCCAACAGGTATAGCTCGCCACCCCTTCTATGGAGCTCCCCAAATGATTTAGAAATTAACGAATCCAATAATATACTGAATATTACAGAAATGTGTTATTCACATGCTCACAACTATTGTACATGCAAATGCAGCTCGCGGAAATTCAATTTGGTAGACGTCAGCCAAAAGCTACCCCCTCCAGGCCGGATCGCTTCCCCAGCCTATCGCACAGCAAACGCCCCCTTCCAATCATCCGTGCCGGACAGGCAGCCGCTTAAAAGCGGAGAAACTCCCACTCTCGGCCTTCTCGAAGCCTCGCAGAGAATCGTCTGGAGGAATCGTTTTCGTCTACTCACGCTACTCGGCGCGACCCTGGCGTCCTCCGTCTGGCTGCTTGTGGTCTGCTCCTCCTCCGCGTCCCTGCACTGGTCTGCTCCTCCTCCGCGTCCCTGCACCGGCTGTGGTTCGCATATCTCCACTGCTCTCCTCTGCGGGCTCTTTCTGCGGGCTGCTCCGCGGGGCCCTCCGCGGGTTCTGTACTGCTCGTTCCTCGTGGTCTGCTGCCGCGCGCAGACGGTCTGGCGGTGCCGCGTTGTCCCGTTGCTTTTCCCAAGTCTCCTGGCATGTGATGGTGCGTTCAGACCAAACGCGATTTCTGCGGCCAAAGCGGCGGGTCTACATTGACACAACATGGGGGACGCGCGCCAAGGAGCGGCGAGAGATCACGCGGCGCGATTCGCGCGGCCAGAGCGGCGCGAATTCGAGCGTTTCGCGCGATTCGCGCGGCGTGTTTTGAGATGTCAAGCGTTTTGAGATGTCAAGCGTTTTGACGCGCGTTTCGCGCGATTCGTGCCTCCAACGCGGCCGCCGCTAGAGTTGAACAATGTTGAAGTTTTTGGGAGAATTCGCGTGTGCCGACCAATCAGGAGCTTTCTCCTCCAGTGACGTAGTGACGCATTTCACTACCGGAAAAACACTGGTAGATGACAGCTATGGAGGACACGTCAATTGCTCAGGTCGGTGCTCATTCTGAGCTATATAACACTGCGGACCACAGCTACCGGGACCGAAATAAAAAGGAGCTTGCTTGGAGGAGGGTTAGCGAGGTGGTTGGTGTCTCGGGTAAGTTATTTTAACTTTTCAATGTTGTAAATATTTCCCCGCGAAAAAAACTACTACTTTCCTGCTTACGAGTTGATGTGTTTATTCAGTGGAAGTTTGCAAAAAGCGGTGGAAGAATCTGAGGGACACATATGAGGTGCTGAAGGTCGGTGTCATGCAGCAAACGGAGACCTCGAACAGTTGGAAAAAATACATTTCTTTCCTTTCTATTACCCACATTTTGCTGACTTTTACATTTATATTGCTTTCTGTGTATGCATTTCTTTTAATGCTTTCTTAACATCATGGCCAGGTGAAAATAGGCATTGGCTATTTTCAAACCAGGATAGATCTTGATCATGTGTTGTGTTAAATTTCACTTTTCCCTTTTATATGAACAAATCATTTAAATGTACATAATAATGTACATTATTATGTACATATAAATGTCATAAGCGCAATGTACACATGATATGAAATAATTGTATTTCTTGTTTTCTTCTGGCGCAGATACTGCCACCACCACACAAGGTGAGACATCTTGGCCTGAGCTTCCTGAGCTGCTGCTGCTGCTGCTGCTTCCTCAGCCGGTTCTTCTTCTGTGAGGGCTGGACCTTCCCCTGCTTCTGCACCTACAGGTGTGGCTTTTTTTAATCATTGTTTTATTTTTATTCTTATTACAGGACTGTTCATATAAACAAAATGTTACTGCATAATATGCCAAAATTACCCAAGGGCTGTTACATCAGTGTAGACGACAAATTTACAGAGAAACGACAAGATGTCAAGGCACTACAGGTGGAAAGAAGCTTTGGTCTGATACAACACATCTTCCCTCTTTCTTTGATAAAAACATACTACTGAAATACCTTATGCTATAAAAGTACTGAACAAATACATGCAATGGTTGCCACAAGATGGCAGCTATCCTGTTTAATGCAGACAATAGAGTATTACTTTTTTTACAGCCAATTTCAAATTTCATTGCGAAATACACTTCAGAGATATTAGTTTGTAACTGTCGAAATTTGTGCTTGTGTGAGTAATTTCATTGATAACTGCAATGTTCAAGTTAATTGTAACACACACACAACTTAAAGGCGCTATACCCGTTTCTGCAATGTTTGAATGTTTAGCACCGCCCCCCAACTCGCTCAATGGCTTCTCATTTCTCATAACACAGAGCCACCTAGTTTTATTTGCGATCTGATACATATGCTAACATTAGCATTAGCGCAACTTCTTGTAAGCTGTGCAACAATCACTGATGAAATGGCACTAAAGCAACGCACTGCTAACACAATATATAAGTAAAAGAATACCGCTAGTTTCGCGTCCGAATGTATTGATTTAAAACCTTAGAATATATTCTAATATTTAATTATAATTTGTTATAGAGCTCCTCAAAGCAGCAGCAGCAATTCTTCCGATCATTTTTCTTGATAACAGAACTCTCAAACCAATAATGACCGAAGCCCCAATGCAACCTGTTTGTAATTCAGGTGTGTAAAATACTGCCATTACTCTGCAAGTACAAAACGCTATCAGCACCTGTCACTACACACTTGTCTGTGTAGAGAAGCTAGCGGAGCTAGCCACGCTCAATAAACAACTACATATCTATCAATCAAAACCATTAAACGTCAATCGGACAATACAGTACACATATACATCCTTGACACACATGCACGGATGATTTCAGAATTTGCTGTTAACGTTTTCATGACAAAAATACTGTTTCAATGTGACAAAAAGCGATTGCGAAAAACCCGGAAGTTACCATGAAACAGCTAGCTAGCTTAGCTGTTACCTGCCTAGCACGTCCCGGTGAAACCTTTGGGAGCTAACTATTTTATTTGCAGTCATTCAATACATTTCGAATTATAAGGGTTGTCTAATATTTGTTCAAATTTTTTTATTCAATAATTTTTTTCATCATTTTTTATTTTAGAATTATATTCGAATTTTGAAGTCCAGCGCTGTAGGGGCTAGAGGACGCAGGCTGTTCGCTGCTCGTTCTGTGAGCGGAGGAGAAAGAGCGGCCCGCTCAGACTCTACTCAGCACTTTTCACTGCTTGTAATTCTTACACAGCTGAATCAATTACCTCAAGTTTTCAATTAAATGATGTATTATGATACAACTTGTATGTAGTAAAAAGCATTTTTATGAACTACTTAGAAAAAAAATCGGGTATAGCTTCTTTAAAAGTGTTTTACATGTGTTTAACTATGTCTACACACTCTGGCTTTAATACAGATATTATTTGCTCTCTTCATTTTGCTTTTTTGAAATACATGTTCCACTTTTTAACACTGTGATTGCCCTGTGTTCTTTGTTGGCGGCTCTACGGACGTGGGCCTCTTCCGAGCCCTCTTCCTTGGTGGGCCTTCAGAGTGGGAGCGGGAGCTGCTGGAGACTCAACGGACCAAAGCAGCCGGACCGCCCGACTACTCAGAAGAACATCAGTTCCTGCTCTCTCTCTTTCCTCTCCTGCAAAGGGTGGCACCAGAGTCAAAAATTTGTGAAATTCAAAATGTACCAACTTTTATATGAAAGCAGCACCGTTCTGCTTAATTTGGAACCATTGGCCAGTACAGTTTTTTTTACCTAAGGTGACACCTTTTGCAGGGGAGGAAACAGACATGTGTCCCTTTCCTCTTCCACCGCACCTCCTCCAAGCAAGCTCCTTTTCATTTGTTTATATGTACATTTCATTTATTTTTCATTGTTTGTTCCTTTTTTTATAAAGAAAATATTTTTCAAACCTCATGTGTTCTACTTCAAGCCAACCATTACTACCTTTCATATAATATTGACAGAAAATGCTATTCTATATTTGTACATTTACTTTTATAAGAGCTGACTGGGTTTTATAGAAGATGGAATAACAAACACTTAAAGAGCGATACAGTAGTTGACAGTATTTTTTATTCATTTCACCTTTTACTGTTTTAACAACCTTGTAATTATGGAAAAGCTTGAATGTGCATATGATTAACCTGAAGTTGGAGTGGAGTCGCAGTGGAGTCTGGCAGTCATTACCTAGAAACAGAAGGTATACAGGTGAATAGAATAGTGCAAATCAATATGGGTTTGGACTATGGCCAGATGTGGGTCAGTCTTGTGGTGGACATGACTACTCTGTGGGCTGCCACGGCAGTGCTCCCTCCTCACTGAAGTGGGCCATGAACACTTTCCTTATGTCCACTGCTGGCTTCCAGGCGGCCATCCGCTGCACGCCTGGAAGTGGTTCTTCACCGGCAGCAGCTCCCCTCGGTGCAGGAACCTGCCCATCTCCAGCCATCCTCATGGCTGGAGATGGGCAGGGCGCATTAAATTGCAGCGCAGTGAAAAGGCCTCATCTGCCACGAACACATGGGGCTGGGGTCCTCTGTGGTCAGCTCCAGGTATGCACTGGTCAGGAGGCAGGTCGAGTGTGCCCTCGCGCAGAGCCTCACCAAAGGCAGAGTTGGACACGATGCCTCCATCGCTGGATCTGCCGTACCCTCCCACATCAATCACCCTGAACCTGTACTGGGCATCCACTACAGCCAGGAGCACAAGGGAATGGTGCCCCTTATAATTAAAAAACATGGACCCAGAGTTGGGGGGTGCCTTCACAGCCACATGCTTCCCATCAATGGCCCCACAGCACAGAGGGAAGTTCCATCGGACCTCCACTCCTCTGCTCCAGGCACAGCCATGAACTCCTCCACGAGGCAGTCCCAGATGGCTGCCACCACATCTGGGATGAGCATGGAGACGGTGGATATGCCCGCTCTGAAGCTCCCCGCAATGGTCCTGTAGGAGTCCCCAGTGGCAAGAAACCTGCAATTACAAAATGATATGAACATATTTATCACAATTACATTCATAAAAATCACGTGACAAAACTTGTGTAGCATAAAATACGTTAAACTAGTAGACAGTAAACATCATAGACAGTAATCATAGACACCAAATTGTTGCATAATACTGTTTTCTGAGCAATTACATTGTGGATTGTGATTGAAAAATGACACACTTTGTAAGTATTTTGGAATTCCGAATGGGGTAAAAAACACTAACCACAGACAGATGGACAGGCGCTCTTCAGCTGGAATAGAGCGCCTGTAGTTGGTGTCCTGGTAGGAGATCCTAGCGCCAATGCGGGTCAGTAGGTCGTCAAACTGGGCCAGGGAGAGACGAAAGTACCGCTGAAAGCAACCCTCATCCGAGCGCAGCTCCCGGAGCAAATGGTGAAACTCACCAAACTCCAACCGTCTACGGACTATCTGATGAATCCAGACACGTCGTCGATTCGCCCTTTGACGACGTGTCTGGCTTTATTTATCAGATAAAGCAACTCCTTCGCTGACATCCATTTTGGGAAGCTACAGGCAAAAGAGACAAGCCCCGCCCCTAAACGCTCTCAACGCTCTGTGACAGCGGCTGCCCTCTAGTGTCCTGGCCGCGCGGCCAAGTTTCTCTGTGACAGCGGCTGCCACAATTTGTCACAAGCGGCTCAAGCCGCGCGATAGACGCGATTTGGCCGCAGAAATCGCGTTTGGTCTGAACGCACCATGAGTACAGTGAGTGTGCCGACCGCGGACGGATTAATCCCGGAGTTTTGGGCTGCAGGCGATTGGTTTTTGCCCCGCGCACTTGACTGCAGGCGTCAGTTTTTTTTGCCCCGTGCTTGGTCTGCAGGCTCCGTTTTCACATGTGTTTGAGCTAACTGAGGGGCAATGCATACTAAATGGCATCAATCTCTATCGTCTGGGGATACAAGAGGCGCAAAGTGCATTAATTCAGATTCATGTTCTGCCACTCGCAGTAAAACCGCGTCGAAAAATAAAAATAAAAAAAAATCTGCAAGGCTACCCCATTGTGCTCCAGACGGCACACACCAGAGCTCTTGCCACGGCGCCATATTTACAGCATTAATCTCATTACTCGCATGTCACTATTCTTAAATGACTGTATTAAATTCGTCTATCTGCAGGAGGAAGGAGGGGCCATGCATTTAAATAGCTAGGTCACTGGTATTCAATTAGGTAACTAAACTGCAGTCGTTGCATTTGAAAGTGCAGCAGAAAGAAAAAGGGCCCAATGTGAATCTGCAATGGGTGTGAAGTGGTGTTGGAGCTAATGAACGCGTGAACAGTGATCGTTCATGCGTATCTGCCATAACCAAAGCAGCAAGATGGCTCCAGGGGACATCTGTTATTCGCATGGGAATGTTTCGGATTCGGGTTGATTTATTTCCTCAGGCTGTTAAACAACCATGGGCATGGTTCTCTGACCGCCGCTGCTGCCGGTCCCTGCTGCCGTTCCTACTGATGCCTGATCCCGCTGCTGCCTGTTCCTGCTGCCTGCTCCTGCTCCTACTACTACATGTGCTGCTGCTGCTGTTCCTGCCGCTGCCGCTCCGCAGGCTCCCAGGCTGCACCTGTCTCTACGGCTCGGCTCTTTCAGACACGTATGTAACCTGGCTCACGGAGACAAGCGGCGCACGCTGGCGTGACACGTCTGTTTGTTCGTATGAATCTCATTGTGGTGCTGCTGCTCCTGCTAATGCTGCTTCTGCTGCTTCATACTGCTACTGCTGCCGTGCTGCTGCTGCTTCATGTACTTTGACATCTCTCTTCACTTCGCATCTCTTTTACTGAAACACTAAACAGCTACAACAACATTCTACTGCTGTGGCTTTGATACAGGATCATTGCTGTTATTATCTACGGATGCTGCATCTGCTGCTGCTGTTACTGCTGCTGCTGCTTCTTACTGCTACTGCTGCTGCTGTTGCTGCTTCATACTGCTACTGCTGCTGCTGCTGCTTCATTACTTTGCCATCACTCTTCACCTGCATCTCTTTTTCTGAAACACTGAACAGCTGCAACAACATTCTACTGCTGTGGCTTTGATACAGGACTATTACTGTTATTTTCTAAGGACGCTGCTACCAGGGCTGGACTGGCCATCGGGCGTACCGGGCAATGCCAGAAGGGCCGATGCCCATATTTGGGCCGGTCTGTTTGCCTCATACAAAAAAGATGTTTGTGAAAAGTGTAAATCCGTTGAGAACTGTTCGAGGGGGCGCGCGTGTCCGCGGGGCACCTGCTGTATGTACTGGAACGGGATTCTACCACCTCAGCGGCCGCAGTGTTCCGGCATCCAGCGGCTCTGAGCTGGACGCGGGAACCGCTCACAACACAACACGGTGAGCGCGTAGCCGCAACGTGACCATGTACCAAGACCATAAACGTGCACAGGACCATGCGTGTCTTTGCGTAATTTTTGCACCCAATAAATACACCGCTGCAGGAAACAGTCCGCGTCTCCCCTCTCCTCTCAAAGTGCGACTAAATTAAAGCTCGGGTGCCTACATTTTCCATTGCATTAAAAGTTCATGTTTGAGCCCAAAAGTAAAATGTTGTGAAAAAATTAAACAGATTTAGAGCCAGCCAATGGCTGACAATATGCATTTCAGACTTTTTTGACCAATTCTCATCCCTGTAACAAACAACAGTGTTGTCTGCGTCCACCTCCCTCACTCTGAGACATGTTAATTACTCTCTTGTAATGTAGACTATTGCACTTTAT